AAAAAAATATATATATATATATCTCTAAATTTCATCAATAATATCGTTTAATCTTTTGTATCATAGTGAAAAAAATCGAAATATATAAAACTATATTCATATCAATTCAGATATATATATATCTGAGATATAATATGATTCTGATCTAATATATATGATAAATATAATAGATTAAAATCATATCTATCGATTTTATTGAGATATATTCTATAAATTCTTGGTTTAAATCGATTTTTTAGTTTATATCAATAAAGAGAATTCTTTTATAATTTCGAAGAAATCTTTTAAAAAAGATACCTAAAGAAAACTAAAATTAGAATAGACGGTATCTTCTTCTAATTAGAATAACCGAATATCACCTATTCGTATATTTCCATTATAATAAAAAATTAAACACCTAACGAGCCAAACAACCAAGATAAAATCAGAACAAGACCTAAGAATCAAGATTTTATAATTAGAGAATATTCAAGATCATAATATAATAGTTCAAAACAAAATATTATTAGTTTTAATTCGAATATCTAGGGTTTCAATTTTTACCAAAAAAACATGCCTTTCTCATCTTTAATTCTTTTCATGCTACTATTTTATGCCTCAATATTTTAGATATATATTCATTTTTCGAGTCCAGCTCTCGTAATATAACTAATTCGATCAGCCCTAATCTACAATATTTCTTCAATATATCCGAATTTTTGCTATATATTATCTTACCTTACTTATCTCCGCCACGGCTATCATCATCATCTCTATTCATTTTTTATATCCACTCCTGCATATTTCCACACTACATACCTTCATCTACTCCTTCCATAATGTTATTTTCAAACTAACTCTTACTTCATTTTCTACCAATATTCCACGACACTATTCACAATCAAACAATTCAACTTCCATTTTACTATCGTATTCATTTAAACAGAAATCACAATGTCAGACTCTAAAAGCATCTAAACATTTCTCTATTACGAGGTTCCGAATTTGCAGACATAATATTTTCCAGAATTTTCTAGAATTTAGTTAAATATATTTTTTTCAAAAAGATTTGAAAAAATCATCATATTTTATATGAAATCTAATTTCTCGATATCATAATTATATCTATTAATACTTTTATTGATATTTATCGATGAAATATTGTCTTATTTAAAATAATATCTATCTGAAAATATATATCAATAATATCTAGATATAGATCAGAAATCATTTCGAATTGGAAGAAATCAAAGTAAATATTGTAATTCATCGATAATAAAAATCAAACATTCTTCTCAATATTATTTACCGGCCTTAATACATTTATATATATATATATAGAGCTCATTATATAAATATTCATGTCGGTCATGTGCCGAATGTGTTTTCCACCAGCTAATGTGACTAGATACAATAGGGTTTTGTCTGGTCTGCCCTTTTCTCATGATGGCGTGGATCGATCGAAGGACATGCAGAAGATGGGTCATGCTGTGAATGTGTCTTCCATGCACATGTGTTGTTGAAGTTGCATGCGCCATGTCATTGAATTTGGCTGCCTTTGTTGTCGTCTGGCATGTTCAGAACGTGCTTTACCTCTGACACCGTGTTTGACAGTCCATGCCGGTGAACCAACTCTCACTCCTTCGGTGGCGGGGCAACCTTGTTGAGCGCAACGCCGAACCTGAGCGGCCGGACATACAGGACCGAAGTTGGAATCGTCGAGTGGCAAAGTTACCTCTAATATCAGATGAGCTACCCTCGCTCACCGCAAGGATTAAGATGGATTGCTTCTCGGACTTTCGGATTTTGTGAATCTCGGTTGTATACTTTGGCACAGTGACTCCGAAGCCTTTTAAGTTCCACGCTTCAAGAGGTTTGTGGTCTCTGGCGGGTCAGAGATCCTGACATCACAAAGGCCAGGCTAGCTGGAAGATCATGATTCTGCCGCGCTCTTCTCCAAACCAACCTTCACACTCTGAGCATTGCCCCTCTTGGAAAGCCTTCAGGTCGTCACGCCGCGTGCTTATTCTGCAGTGTCAGCAGAGAACGTAACCCAAAAGATAAACTCTGGATTGATTGAGGCGTTCTTGTGATGGCAAGCCTCAGAGCATTACTGGCAGCTGGCAATCCCTTGAATTTCCTGCGCAGTTAAGCTTGCCAGCAACGCCAAGTACCAGGGTTAATGCGCCGCTCTGGGGCAACTTCATCGACCGCCACCAGGCCATTCAGCGTCTGTGAAAAAGGTGAGGAGCGCTTTTTAGGAAACATGATTCGCAACGACTGACAAGTCACTGCTGTCCTTTAAACTTACCTGCCTATAATTGAGGGGCATCGCGAACCTTGCCCAGCTCTGCGTCCTTGCTGTCTGCTTCCAGCAGAGCCTGACAATTTGCAGGGAAAACTTCGTTCAAGCAGGTTCGGCACACAATGTCGACGACAACTGCCAGGCATCAACTGCAAAAGCACACCTGACCCCGAAGCTTCGCCGAAAGCATCCTCTTGCGAAGGCCTTCTGCGTGGCGGAGGATAGTGATGTGAGTGTCACATCAGGGCTGGGTCGCCCGGCCTAGGGAGAAGGCAGGTCTCCGGCGGGAGCAAACTTAACATCTCTGATCATCCTTCAAATACGACAAAACAAGCGTCACACACAGACACGGTGAGGCGGGTTGTCGGGATCAGAAGGTGAAATCCCTAAAAAACCCGAAGCCCCCTTTTGGTTCCAGGCCCGGCCACAGCGGAGCATCGCTCGCTAGGTGCCCTCCTCGACACCAGAGGCCAAGAGGCTTGGAACCAAATTGCGACGACAGCAAGGAACTGCTTTTGGTCTGTGGCATGCAGGGGAGTGGCTCAGCTGCCGATCGAACCGCAATCAGATGAAGCAGTTGCGAGACGAGACCTCACATGGCAGAATCTTTTCCTTTGAGTGCTATGGCATCTGTTCAATTGCTTTGCAAAATAAAGGCAACTGAGGAAAGACTCTCAGGTAGATCCCAAGCCCGCTCACAAGAGTTGACTTGTGAGCTCAGAGACGCTAACTCGTGTCAGCTTGAGAGCCCCCAGAAAGAAAAACACTAGCTGGCTGCTCCATGTGGTGCAACGCATCGCAGCCTCTCCGAAAGACGCATCACGAGTAGATTTACTCTACTAAACGTACAAGAAATTTGCTGCTTGTAGCGCACCGAACCACCTGTCACAGCAGTAGTGTGCTCTAGTGGCACCGGCTTTTTGGGCAAGCCTCGTCTGGACTCGGTACACGGATTTGTCAGCTGACGTCGCAGGCAGAGAGCGGCGCGGAGTTTTGCCCGTGCCGAAGCCGCAAGAAAGTCAGCGTGACAACCTGCAGAGCCGTGTCACAGAACGGCAGAAGATTCCCAGCGCAGAAAGCCAGGCCCACGCCCTCATGGGCTTGCGAAAAGTTCATTCAACAACACCCCGTAGATCGTGCCACCGAGCAAAAGTAGAATCCGGAAAGGGGAAATGGCTAGCACCCGTGCTGCAGCACCCGCACCCTCCGCCGTCTGGGGAGGGCTCGAGAGGGGATCTTATGCAGCTATAAATACAGGGTGGAACGGACCGCAAATCTCGACTGTTTCGATGTCCTTGACTTTGGCCTGAAGCAGGCCGGGACAACTCAACAAAGGAAAATGCCGAGATTTGAAAGTGGCTCAAGGCAACAGAGACTCTGCAGCTCGAAGGATTTTCTGAGATACTGCTACCAAAATCTATTGGCACAGTGCAAGCTGCTCTTGCTTCATTTGAGCTCTCCATGCCTTGTGACTGATGGACATTGCTTGCCAATCCAAGGAACATCAAGGAACGGACAAGTCAAAAGAGTTGCAGTGAGGCTCACTGCAGCGAGTCGAGTTCTTTGGTTGTTGACTCGTCTACTGGGTCTTCTCGGCGACCCTGTTGGGATCAGGCCCCAACTCAGATGCTCACAACTGTGGACGGACTCACACGCTGAAATGGTCCTGCTCGCAGTCGTGGAGTCCTGACACAACTTTGGGCAACCGATGGCAACAGCAAAGGAAGATTGACTGTTTCGTTTTTGAATCGGAGAGGATGCTCGTGAGTACTAGATACTGCAGAAGTCGATAAAAACCCGCTTCGCCTGAGCATCTTTGACCTTGAATAATAATTAAAGTATGAGCGGAGCCCGCCCGGCTCCGGTCTGATCGAAGACGCACCAACTGCAAAACTGACTGCCGTACCTTCAAAGGGCCGGCCTGTGTCTGTGCCAAGGTATCTCTTCAGAGTCTTCACATCGAGGCGATGATCTTGGCTGTCAAACTCGAACGTCTGCGTATGCTTCTGTCTGGTACTTATCTTCTTGACTCGTGAAGGCTTCAGCGAGGGCAGTCCATGACTTCGTAGATTCACAGCTCATGCCTTTGACTCTAGCATGCCCTGTTGCTCGCAGGATATATATAAATATATACATAGATATATGTAGGGCACGGGTGATCTCGTCTAATACGCTTGGATCTGGCAAGTGCTGGCGGGCTTCCCAGATCACGACAATTCTTCATGCTGATGTTGAGCACGGCCCCTGCAAGGTTGGAATCATGAAGTGAAAGGGTTTCTCACTCACACCCTGTCCATCTCTATCCTCACCAAGAAAATGCTGAACCAAGTCTAGACCACACTCGGCTCGGCGCATACCATGCATAGCTCAGGCGCACAGCAGCCAGGACATCCGTTTTGTGTTTAAGCGGGTCAAGAGCAGAGCCCTTCATGCGGTTCGTCAGATCGGGGGTGGGACCATGGAACTTTCTCCCGTCTGCTCAAGTGTTGACCTGGTGCGGATAATGAGCAGATATCTTCGTCGCATGTCTTACCACACTGTTTCCTTCCGTCCGACGAATCGGACGTGAATCCATTCTCCCTTACCTGCCGCCGCACTCGTGTTCAGATCAAGTTCAAGATCTTGGCAGGAAAGTCGCCGCTGCGGAGCCACAACGAATTCTGCTGTCCCGGTGGGGGCAAGGGTTCATTTGCTCTGACGGAGGCTGTGCTTCAATGCTCCGCTGCTTCTTGTCTGAGCAACGCGAACAGAAGTTGCATTAACTTGCGAATCTCTGCTGCGTGCATAGCCCCAGGCTTCAGCATGTCTATTCATTGCGCGTCCTTGTCAACTCCGACTATGCGACCACGGGCTCCTGGCCTTTCTGTTCACTGGAAAAGACGTTGTCCTCGCATGTCGGAGAGAATATGGTGTCATTCTCCAAGGAACCTTGAACGGTGCACTATGTTTCCGCTACTGTACATCCTCAAGACAGAGCCGGTCGCAAATGCGCATCGTACAGCGAACGATCAGTCGGTGCTGTCCGTTCAAACCACAGATACGTCTTTCCTGCGATTCAGTCTGAGTCTACATGCAAACCGTGCGTTGGCTGTGCAGGTCACGATCATTCAAAATCCACTGCATCTGAAGCCCAGCAGCATGGAGACCCTGGAGAGATGTCCCCGGCTTCTGAAACTGCCGGTAGCGTCACTGGGGTCCGTTCCAAGTCGCGCACCTGCACGCTTGGCCTTAGTGACCGGAGGAGCGGAGAGATGTGATCACACGTGAAGCTGCTCTGTGTGGTTGAAGGAAAGACAGAAAGCTTGCCTCAATTTGGAGTCATGCTGCGGCCAATATAGGTATACATCAATAACAAGCACCACGATGAATGGGATCGCGGGAAGCATACTGCTGTCTGGAGTCGCATCATAGACCAGAACGAAGGACCAAAAGGTGGCCATTCCGGTTGCCACTATTGGGACGACCATGGCAATTGACGCCAGAAACCGCTTTCTCTGCCCTTGTATGTTACGCCCTTGCTTCCAGAGCAGCAGGCTAACGCGCACGACGCACAATGCCGCGAGGCAGAGTTGTGCCCATTCAAGGAACATCCGGAGGCCCCAGAACAGTGAATCGATCCCAGCTGCTTCAGCCGGTCCTCCAAAACAGGGCACCAGTTCCCGATGCCCAATTAATTACACGGCCTGCTACAATCTTCTGTGATTCTTGGTCGAGAGCCAGGGGTGCTTCCAGCCAGCAAGCAAATTACAATCATCAGGGTTGTACCTGTACTCGTGCGGGCATGGCCAGAACCACGCCGGCCTGCTGCAATACGGACAATGACAGTAGACAGCCAGGGAACATTACCTCAGAACAAAGCGCTCGTGACGCTCGTGGATTCGCCACAAATGAACTACGAGGATCTATAGGCCGTGCTGACACAACTTGTGTCATTCGCAGCAGTCTAGGCTGAGGACCCCGGCATACCCCGGCTAGCGAAGGATTCGTCTACACAGTCTTGGCTTCCTCTGCTTGGCGAGATGCTGCAGCAAACCACGTAGAGCACGTAGGATATTGGCAGGGCATCACTTCCAACCTCAGGAACATTTCAAGCGCGGGCAAGATCAGACGAGAATCGGCATCACTCTTTACACTGCCACGCCAGCATATGCCAGCATGTCACAGCTCTCGGGTGCCAAGGCGCAGAGCCGAGGATTTGGGGGCCCAGGCGATCGCGCACGAGACGATTGAAGCGTCTACAGTGCTCCTGGTACGGGGCCGAAGCTACCTCATGTAACTAAGTGTCAGACTGTCTGTCACTGGGAAACCCACAATATACTAGGCTTTTGATGAATATCGACCTACGGCGTCCTCGCCGACGTCACCTGGTCGCCCAAACCACTGCTGAAGCATCTGCCCAACAGCGGCACGATCCTCGAATGAGTCGAGTCATGGACTCATGGATGCTGGACTTCTGCTTTCGACCCTTCCCTCACACTCTGCTTTGACAATGGTTCTGCTCTGCCAGTGATTGCCAAGCGAAGGCTCACAGTGAATTTCTGCCCCCGTGTCCGGATGTCGGTGGTGATTCGAGCAGCAGAAGCACCTTAGGTTTAAGATACGGCTCCAGGCCGCTCCTCTGCCGGCACAGCTGCAGCAGAGGGCACTCACATTGCTGGACCCGAAAGTTGCACACCTGGCGGGGCAACTCCTCCAGTTCCTGATATGCACGATGTGAAGACTTGCTCGTTTCTCGAAGTCAGAGTCGTCTCTGCTACAATTCGAGGCTTGGTCCTGCATGAGACCAATGCCAATGTAGTTGAGCGCAGGAAAGATTGCAACGACGGCCGCAGCCGCCAGGCTCCTCGGTTGCCCCAGCGGGCTGCTCCAAGGTGTTGGGTCTGCTGACCTCCTGGGCCAAAGCTCCCAATGCCGCTTAGCAGCCCCACAACGATAGGGCATCGGTGACCACTTTCCGCGTCTAGCGAAACGTAGAACAGGGCCGCCGCGATCACTTGGATTTGTGACATGAGTGCCATCAAGACCCCCATCTTCAGCGGCACCAGCCGAATATGCGCATGCTTGCCACTGTCCTTCATAAACGTTGCAAGCTCAAAGCCTTAGTCGAGCAGGGTCAAGCCACTACTCCGCACTAGCAATCCTGAAGAGAAACCCTGGGCCTGAATAATGGATAAATGGAAAACTGCCACTGTCTAGATGACTGCCTTGGAACACACCTCAAGCCAGGCTCAACTTGTCGGACAAGCCGCTGCACCAAAGCCGGCGGAAGTAGCGTTTGGACCAAAGAATTGTCAGTTCATCCGAGCGGTTCAGGAATGCTGCCAGTCCCAGCACCCCCTGCGAGCTGGAATTTCTAGGTGTGCACTCCACGCTTGTTGACGGATGAACGTTGGCTGTCTTTGAGGTTTCTGAAGCTTCTGATCTGACTTGAAAAACCGGATATCATGCTACTGTACTGATTACGTTGAGAGCTTGAAACAGAATGCAACTCTTTTCGGGTTGGACATCCTGACCGCAACCAGTCTAAACAAAAGCAATGTGCAACATGTCCATCACGCCTTCTCTTTGAGGTTCTCGTCATGCTGTGCAATGCAGAGCTTGTCCAAAAATACCACAACTGGAAAACCCACGAAGCTTCTGATCCGTTGCCAGAACAGGAACACAAGCCAGAATGTGGCATGCGGCAGGCCAGCAATCCACATACCAAAGGGGAATACCTGAGCCAGCATCTTACAGCGAGAGCCTGCAAGAAATCGTTGGTTCAAAAAACCGCGCCCCTCAGCCGACCGAGCGTGCGTCAACATGTGAGCTATGATAAGTTGAGAAACAAAGGGTGCCCTAGCCTCGCCGCAATGACCACCCCAGAATCAAAACGGTTAAGACTCTGAGGGGCTGGGTTTCTGATTTCAGGGCCAGGCCTTTCCAAAAGACCTCCGAAGGCCTCTCGGGGCAGAGGCCGAAAGCCTTCTGAAGGCTTAACCGACAGCCCACCAAGTTTTTCGTGACGGAGAGTGAATCTCTCGCCTTGCTAGTCACTAGTCCTTTACATAAGTAAGCAGCTCAGTTGCTTGATTTGGATGGTTCCGGGAAGCTTTCAGGGTGCACGGCCTTACATGAGCCCTCCAGGGGCCTCACAAGGTCCACGAGTCTTGCAACAGCCTCTGGAAAGGCGTAGCCGGGTACGCGCCAACGTAAGAAATTGAGGAAGAATTTCCAAAATTATGCAAACCGAGCCTCTCTGTCTCTTAGCTCGGGGATCCAAACGGATTTAAGGACAACCAGAGTTCCAGTTTGAAGGATTGATTTCTTGCAGATTCATTGGTTCAAGGCACTGAAACTTGTGGAGGGACCGAGCGCACAAGCTTGCCAAGCAAGGGATACTCGGCAGCATGCTATGCGATTGCAAACATTTCGGTTGCGGCAGAACCACAGAAATGCAGCCGGCGTGCCCCGAAAGCACACAGAAGTCCTGTCAACACACTGACGATAGTTGTGGTGATCGAGGCGGCGCGTGCCTGTCGATGCAGGCGGACTGTCTAACTGCTTTCAGTATGCCGACTGCAGCAGAGTGGCATTGAAGGCAATTAGAAGTGCAATCACCTTCATCCATCTGGATGATGCCCAGTCGTGGCTGAGGAAGGCCTTAGTAAGTGTTCGGCCGGGTGACTTCACTGTGTACGAGTAACGACCATTCCGTCAGTTCATCCGGGAACACCTGCTTTGGTCACCGGAATTGCCCATTATTCAACTTGTACAGACCAAGCGACATGAAATTTGGCAGTCTTTCGACTCAGCGCATAGTTCTTCGGATCCACATGAAACATTCCAGAATCTGGTGGATGCAGGTGTCGTCCCAGACCCTGCAGAGCGACGTCAAGCCGCACACCACGAAGAATCTCTGGGTCAACCTGTCCGCAGCTCTGACAGTTACCGAGGATCCGATGACACTACTCACTATTCCTTTCCACTTCCACTTCTCGCAGACACTCCCAGGTCTTAGTCTTCCCTCGCAGTGTCATACATACATGGGCAACTCACGGGTTTGGTTTCCATTTTTTCAAGTCCTCCGCTCCTTTCCGCGTCTAATGTGTCAACCGCTGGCTTTTAGACCTGAACAGGCTTGAAACTGCCCGGACCTTATTGTGCGAAAGAGCTGTCATCTGATGAGAAGCCGGAAGAGCCACTGCACAGCTGCCACAACCGTCATGAGTTTAAGCGCCAGTGAGCAGGTTGCGCCTCCGTCAGAAGCTCTTTTGCCGTGGGTGAAGTCCCAGACATGCTTGAGTTCTCGCTGCGCTCCATCCTGAAGAGATGGGACAAGGGCACGTGCTTCAGAACTCGGGCTCTCGAATGTCGGAGTCCTGATTTTTTCTGCGAGCTCCCACGTCGATTCTGGGCTCGGCATGGTCCAGGTATTTTTGGTGCATGCTGTTCCACATGAAGTGGTTGTCCACTCCAATCCCGTTGGAGGCTCATCCGCATCAAAGGCCTTGGATCGATGCCCATCGCTCAATCCTTGCGAGGATGTTTGCAAAATGTTGCAAATGCCAACATACTCATGTCTGACTACAAGAGCTGAACTCACGAATGCTTGTCTGCCGGGAAAAGCTCCTGTTGAAGTTTCTGCCAGATCCGTCGCCATTGCACGAGTTTCCTCCCGATTCGTCCGACGGGGTGCTCATCAACGTTTTTCAGCGACAGTCGTCGTACAGTACAGGTTTGGAGAAGAAACAGCGACGGCACGCACCTCGTTGCTGAGTAGTCTCCGATATGGCAGGTCGTGTGGCTAGGCATGCTACAGTGCAGCGAGGAAACGATGCTGTCTGTTCGCCTTCGTGCACATCGCACAGTGGGCTTGACGACACTCTGCCGCAACCTACCGTCTCATTCTTAATTCGAAAATAACTCTGAACTTGCAGAGCATGCAGCCTTGGCAGGATTGTTACAACAAGAACTCAGCACCGTGTGCAGGTGGCACGAAGCCGAGAAATGAATCTTGCCAGTGGGAAACGCGACTGCCCTGCTGCTCCATGCATTCGGTACACATGTATGTACAACGAACACCAAGCCGTGCCAAACACAGGAAGGTCTCACAGAAGAGACCTCCCTGGACTTTCGCTGGTACTGGCAGCGTCACAGCTAAACTGTGGATGGCTAAAGAGGGCCTTCGCTGACCCGTCCGTTTGACTTTGGCAAGGCTCGGCCGGAACTGGTCGGTGGCTGACATGCCCAGGCTCTAGGTCTTTCGAAGCTCAGGTGAACACCCAAACACTCACTACACGTACTAATTCCACTCAAGGTCTCGCTTTGACATGCCGATTAAGCTGAAAGACCTACGGGTCAACACGACTGGATATCTACATGACCTCTTCATTGCAAAGGTGCTGGTTGCATGGAAACAGGGCTGCCGGCAACTTGCAGAGAACAACTGCAGTGAACAGAAGTGGCAAACAACCAATCCACATCAATCTACGATTTAGCGTCGGATGAACTCGCCCTGCTGGTTCATGGCTCCTGTGCGAGAACGCCAGCAATGTCGCCCCGGGATCCGGCAAAAACGTGTGATCCGCAAAATAGGTCTCGAAGTGGAAGAGCTTCGTTGGGCCGTGAAACTTGGCTCAATCCACACTGTGAGCATTTGGAAGCCGGGATCCCTGGCCGATAGCAAAACTGGCTGGCAAGCTCAAGCGATGCCCCACAACTCCACGCTGTTGCACAGCAAACGGCGATTTCGATGGGTCTCTTACGTCCCAAGTACTGACTGTCGACATCGGGATCATCGGATAGCCAGTGCTATGGAGCTTTGAAGCAATGAGGCGTTGTGGGGCTGAAGTAATTCAGCATCACTCTTGCAAGGAGAAGGGAGCAAACTCCACATGGCCTCGCAGGTTTTTTGGATTGCCCACAGCTCGAAGCAACATGCACACACACACACACGCAAAGAGAACCATGCTTTCAGCCCCGACTGGTGCCGCGGACTGACGAGGTTTTTTAACACATTGAGATCGCGGAAGTCATGGGATGCAACAGCGCTTTGGGGAAGAAGTAATTTGGCACCTGGGGTAGACTCACAGTCTTCGCAGCCCGCTGCGTCGAGCATGCACTGCCTGAGTGAGTGACTCTGCAATTTCTTCTGCTGCATTGGTGCGCTGACAGTAACTGCGATGCGAACATCTTCTGGAATTACAGCTTGATTCCCAGCCTAACGCTACTTGCATCAGGTTGACACAATCGCATCGCGGCCATAGCGGACTGCCGTGCTGACCTCCCGCGCATCTCGCATCATGAAACGAACCACGATCTTGTGTGAACTATACCAAACGTGGCGTTCCTGTGCACCCATACGCTCCTGCATACAATTAAAAGCAATCCCACCGGCATCGCACCGAAGATGTCCCGTCTGGCCAGGTTGGCGCCGAAGTCGCACAAAACTTTCACCACTTCCTTGGCCGGTCCAACAAAGTGCGCAAGTGCCCAACAATCCAACTGCGAAAATGCAGCTTGAAGGCTAGGTTTCCTCTGGCGGCGGCCAAGTGCAATGGCGAGAGCCCCGGGTAGGCGAGGACATTCCTCGACTGAACACAGCACGCAACACTACACTAATTAAGTGATTGAGGCCAGTCAAAGACATATCGACAGTAGGACGATGTCGAAGTTTCAAAAGCTCGCAGTGTACTTCCAACCGAGCTGCATGTCGACGTGCTGCTCGCACAGGAATCGCGCCACTTCCTGACCGCATCGCAATACATCTCGGGCTGCTCAGACGGAGGGGCCATGAGGATGTGTCCCGTCCGGACTCAATCCGTGCAGTTCGCGTTGAAAAGCAATTCAGCACACCGGGCAGCAGGCGGACGGACAAAGACAAGAAGAGGGGACGACACGGCGCATCGATCAGAGCTGGAAGACGTTTCCCGCCCAGATACCTCTTGGTCAAAGAGGGCAGCCATATGCAGCGGCCGACTGCCGCTGCCTGAGTTCGAAGCGGGGCTGCGGCTTTCGCTCTTGCAATGCTGCTGGGTATGTTGGGGGCTCTTCCACCTGTGACGGAAGATCCAGAAAACACCAGTCTGTGAAGAGGTTTGACCACGCCAGCGAAACAGCCAAAAGGAGTGCTTTTAACCTCACAAGTAACATGCAAGTCCACCCTTCATGGGAGACACGTTGCGTACACGCAGGGCATAAGCACCATGCGCCCTGAACAAACTCGCTGCTTTTTGAACTGGCTCCAAAATTCCAAGCACTGGGGGCCTTCCAAGCCCATTCCAGAAGCCTTCCAAAAAAGGCACCCCCAGTTTGCTGCTCCCGAACACACACTGGCACACACACTGGCACACACACTGACACACACTATTACATGGGAGCGTCAGCATGCTGCGTACTAGCTCGGAATTATGTGCTTGGCCTCAGGTCGTGCTTTCCAAGCTGCTACTTGTAGCCTCTAGGTCGGCGCGCAGCTCGAAGAGCTCGCGTGCGACAACCTGCAAAACGGCACTGGTCCATTGCGAGTTTTGCTCGAAGCGGTGATCCCGAACCCTTCGTGCAGCGCGACAAAGCCAGTTCGTGGAAGCAGCGGGCAACGCGAGAGCGCTGCTGGGTGAGATCTTGCCCCATGCCGTGTGCAACATTGTGCAACCCTCAGAGCTACCTGAAGCCAACGATCAATATCAACTGCTCGCAGATGCAAACAATTTCGCTGTGGATCGCTGGCTAAGCTGAATATGCTGTGGGGAACCGCCAAATCTATGCTATGCAGCAGCACAGGGCCGAAACCTCGTATCCGAATCGCGCTGCCAAGTGTAGAGGAGTGTAACTTTGGCGATCCCTGCTGTCGATCAGCACTCCTGGCAGACGGACTAGCGGAATCCCATTCCCACTGACAGCATCCTGCGCGGCACCTTCTTGAGCCAGCCACCGAACAATGAGCAAGTCGCCACAGTAGGCGGCTACGTGAAGCGGCGTCCTGTAACGTATGCTTGCAACGAAGTTACCAATTTTATGTCAGTTCTTGCTCAATGGATGGACGACGCCGCATTGGCGTATTTCACTTTTTGAGGTTCAAGGCCCACGATTTATCGCCCACCTGCCGTTGCGGTTGGGTTCGGCGATGCCTCATTCCGAGATGTGCATGATTGCAATACGACCAAGTACATCGCACAGCAACGCAGATCTCTCAAGCTCATCAACCAGAGCATGCCACTTACGATGCCAGATTTCCAAATGCAGCGAGCTGCTGGCTCCAGCGGCATGGAGTCTTTGCACGAGCGGCAGGTACCCTTCTTGAATGGCAACATCAATCAGCCTGCACAAGGCGCGTTTACAACACCGTTTTTGGCGTTCATGGGTGCTGCAAAAGTGGATCACCGCTGCTTGGCGGTTCGAGGCCTGGTGCCGCTCTTGTCCATGGCCTACCGAGTACCAGTACCAGGCAGAGTGCTCTTCGGAGAGCTCACATTGAGTCTGTGCCTGCTTTGCCTTGAACTTGATGTGTCACGACAGCTCTTCCGGCCTCTGCGTTCGCGCCGGCCTCGCACAAAGCCTTCAATGCATCAAGATAGCCTGCAGCCAGGTGATGCGCACATACAAAGAATTCTTGTAACTTCTCCATCAAGAGACTGCCCAAGCTTTGCAAGGCTCAGCATTTCGAGGCCTCGCTGGCACGCAGGGAAGGCCGGAGACATGGCATGTGGGCCAGGCGCCTCGGTGGATGTCGCAGCTGACCTTCGAACGTTTGTATACGTGTGAATCGTCACTTTAGCCCAGCCGAGGCTTCTGAACCTGTGTAAAAATGACCCCCCTGCTGCGTGTCCAATGCTGCTGAAGGACATTGGGATCGGCATCGCCATCGCACAAGGCCCGGATAACCTGCGCGTGAGGCTTCCGGCCGCTCCTTTGGGGCATCGGAAAGGAAGCGTTTCACAGAACTCGGCACCTCCACGTGATTCTTCTGGCAAGCGATGTGCAGGGGCCGCCGCCCATCCTTGCAGATCCATTACGTGGAGAGCCAAGGAAGCCAAGGTCTGCTTGCATTGCTCATCTCTTTCGTTGCTGTCCTCCGCCTCAGCGTTGGGTTCAGCTCGAGCGGTCAGAAGGCACCTGGCACAGCTTTTGGGAATTGCGTTCTCTTCCTCTCACAATGCACCAGCCTCACGACTGCCAGATGGCCACTCTGTGAAGCCAAGTGCAGCGGTGTTGCCCCATTCTTCATGGGCTTCTCCTGCACTGTGAAGTCTCACGACACTGACACTCCTCTCCTCAAGTTCCTCACCTTCTAAGGACAAATTGCCAAGTTAACCCAGGCTGCGACTGCAAGCCCCCAAGGTTCATGCCGCGAAGAAGAAAAGTACAAGGACCTACCTTGCCTTTCCTTCCCTTAGCGGCTACTCCGTCCAAGGAAGTGTCAGAGGCAGCCTTTGAAGCACCAGCTGCAAGCAGTTCAACAACCATGTCGAGGTGGCCATGAAACCTGGGTTTCAAACATCGCATGACCCGAAAAGTCCACGATGGACGTTTGCTTAGGTTGCCGCAAGTGTTCCAGATTGGGGTCTCGTCTGTATGCAGCGGCGGAAGAAGCTCGAGGCAGGGAAGGAGAACTGGGGCAATGCTATCAAAGCCCCCTGGTGAATTGAATTAAATCTAGCCGTAAGTGCCACCATCGCAGAAAAATACTGCACTCAACCTGTATCATCCTCAAGCCTCCAATTCGAATCAATCTCTGTGTTCAGAAACGGTCAAGCTGACCAACCACATCGAATTCAAAAGGGTTAGCCCGGTTATCCCACTGGTCACAACAGCAACTTGTCCAAACCACTCCCACTGTGAAACAGCTCCAACTTCCAGCACAAAGCTTGTAGGAACATCTCTATAGGAACAGTCCAAGACTTTGACTTCCGTGTTGGACGGCTTTGCTTTGGAGGCGTAAGCTAGAGCTGGTGAAATACACCTTGATGCCTGGCCACGATGCTGCCAGAAGAGCCGTGAGACCATCACTGGACCTGGCGAAGTCCTTGTCGCTCGAAAGCTCTCTTCCCAAGCTTGACAAACTCGAAAAGGATCGCGAATCCAGCTTGGCTTCTCTTTCTGCAGAGGCTCTGGGGGTGCTGGCCGGCGTAATGCTTCTCGAAGGCTTGGCAAATTCCCGAACCTGCACAGCAGACGCATTGTCCCGCGTGAACGCCCGCGAGCAAATCAAACCGAGCCCTGCCTGGCGCTGTCGATTAAGTGTGTTCCAGCTTCAAGTTCGCACGGTGTGCAAACAAGCCTCAGCGGCTGAGATGCTGTCCGCAATGCTGAGGTGCCCCTTGACCGACGTCGCGTGTGGACAGGGTCTGGACTACCAAGCGGACACACCGTCCAGCGGGACATTGACTAGTGACAGCAACTGGAAAGGTAGAAACAGCTGTAGCTATACAGCCCAAGCGCGGGGTCACAGGAGTTCCCGACAGCATCCTACACCGACAGCAGAACAAAACTAATAGACCACCTCTGCAACTCAGCCGCAACAATTCCAACGTAGACGTATTCGTCACAACCGACTCCACGGAGGCGTCGTCTTCGAGAATCCTCTCCCCTGACCGAGGCTTCTCATTTCACTCCAATAGCTGGAAACGTGGCGCTACTGCCTCTACGAAGTTATACTCCAGCAAAAGTCTCTAATCACCATGAACACAACATCAACATCCCAAAAGACAACTCACGCTAAGATTTTGCTTTGTGCGGCTTGGAAGGGTGCTGCTGAATGTTTAAGCTTGCTCCAGCCATGGCAACAGGCAGAGCTGACAAATTCAATGAACGCAGCAGAACCGGAATGTCAACAAGTAGAAACCGAGAGGTTGAGGCATTCCGCAACAACAAGGGAAACTGTTGACCTGACAGTTCGCTCTGCATGGTGGAGCCCAGCCGCCGATCGAGACTAAAGCAATCTGATAGGACATGCACACATACGTTGACGTACATGAGACTCAAGTCAGGAATTTGTGGACAAATGTGCATGCATGAGTATGTAACGACTCATGCATGCAAACATGCATGTGTTTGTGTGTCTACATACGTGTATACAAACAAATAGAGAAACGTATATGCATACATACATACATACATACATACATACATACGTACGTACGTACGTACATACATGCATAGCTGCATACCCATATGAGTAGATAAAACATATCTGAGGCGGTGTATTTTTTATGCACATGAGCTTCTTTACGTCTGCGCCAGCTTAAACTCCCTCAACCACCCCAAACGAGGTTGATGTATCGAGGTGCGGCATATGGTTACGTAGCTTCATTAGCTGCAGAAATACATACGTGTGTACATAAATGCGTTGTCACATACGTGGACACTCAGCAACGGTGCCGGATCGAGGGTGCAGATGCAAGTGCCACAACCAAAGCATCTTACCTTGCTGCCTGAATCCTGCCGTGCAATAACAACTCCAAAATAAGAGAGGGGACAGGGGGATGGGGGATGGCGCAGGGCTGAACGCCCTCACGGCGGGGAGGCCACAGGCGTCTGGCTGCAAAATTCATACTTGCACGGCTAGCTTGAGCTATGTGTCCCAAGGCGTCTTCTCGTTTCTGACAGGATTTGCTGAAGCTCGGAGTCTAGCCTTGACATTGAAGCAGCCGTTGCGCATAGGGCGGAGACCCGCAACTCCGTGCCAGACGTATCTTCAACGCCTGTGTTTATCATGGACAGGGGTATGCTCAGAGGTGCGGAAATCGCTCAGTGCTAGACTTCTACAGCACGACCTATGTAGTGCACCATCCCAATCAACAGCCCGCGGCACCCGCGCGGTGGTGGCACGCGGCACACGGAAGCAAGTGATAGCTCCCCCCAGAGATCGCACCTGAGCGCCCAGGTCTGATATCGCAAGTTTCCAAAGGATATGAAGGATGCTTTATGGACACTGGCGCGGCAAAACCGGTACTGCGACATGTTGGGCTTCCGGCGCTCACCGTCACATAGTCGTCTTCCGACTCCTCTTCGCCTTCCTCCGCCATGGCCGCAGCATGCCAATATGGCAACTTTTGGCCCAAAGCTTGCGGAGCAAGTTCATCGCGACAGACTCTGCTCAGATCACTACCCCGTGCCAGGATCAATTCAGGAGCAATGCGCTGCTGTCGCAACTGCCTTTCATTCACAGGCTTGAGTCAATGCAACCGCCCGGTGGCAACACCTCTGGTGTTTCCTTGTAACATCTGTAATTTGCCATTGAAGCGTCAAGCACAGCGTCAATGACAACGAAGCGAACGAGGGCGAAGCGGTGCAGGAGTTAGTGCCATGTCGGAGCAGCTTCTAACTGCAAGCAACTCTGGACTGCTCCATGAGTAGGCTTTCAATCACGGCACACCGATTTGCAGCAGCATGACTTACAACTCATGAATCCAGCAACCCTTGAACCGACGTCAGAAGCGACGCCGGGGTCAAACTACGAGAAAGGTGTAGCTCCCGAGCTTGCGCTTCATTGTGTGCGATAAGCTCGACATGATGTTAAGTGGGAATGACCAGCGCGACGACTCCGACTCATCATACCAACTCTCCTGCGACGTCCTCCTGCAAAACAAGTGAAACTGTCAAGCGAACGACTGTCCACACGTTGAGAAGACGATTCCAGACGGCCTTGTCGCCCATGGAAGCAAAAAGCTACTAATTAGCACGCACGTCAAAGTGCACATACACATACATTAATGCACATACATACTCGCATGTACGCGTACCCGCACATACATACATACATACATACATACATACATACATACATACAAACACACACGCACATACGTACACATACATGGCCACAAATGCACACAACGACACCAATGACACAAGTACACATGTACATTTATGCACACCCACACGCACGCACAAGCACCTAGGGACACACATGCGCACGCACACATATATGAATTCGAATACAAATGTGCAACCAGTGTATATACACATAAATACAGATGTAGGAATGTGCAGGCTGATGTATGTGCGTATGCATGTATGTACGTAGGTACGTACGAGTACGTATGTATGTATGTACGTATTTATACACACAAGCACATCGCGTGTGCGTGTGTGTGTGTGTGTGTGGGTGTGGTGGGGGGAGGTGTGCTTTCGGACGACCTAGTCATGTTGGAGCTCAGAGCTTCTTTGCCTCGATCTTCTGATCTTTCAGCCTGTCATTGTACCTGGACAGCTCCTGGCACCAAGGTGCATGCCTGGTTCATGTGATTCATGTGTCCACGAGTACAGTGCAACACAATGTGGATCGAACCCAGAGCCTGGAAGGCAGCATCTTCTCGACGAATCCACCTGATGCTGCGATGCGGTCTTGATCGCTGGCTGGCTGGGCTCCTGCCTGTGTTTGTTTTATCTCTTCCCCACTAGGCTTACCCCGTCAGGTGGCTCGGAAGCTCTGGCGATCCTGTAGAACCCCGTTGTACCAGCTAACAGCAGGGCTGGCCAACCTTTCGCATAAGCCTGCTGGAGAAGACGTATAATCGAGATTGCTTGGTTAGACTTGTTTGCCTGCTTGCTAGGGGCTTGGGGCCGAAAACCCTCGGCGTGCATGCGATCGCTTGAATCCCGGGCTCGCAACAGTTCGGCCCCATTTCGGTGTTGGGTGCTGTCGGCTCTACCAGTAGCAGCTTGTTCCCCGGCACAGTCCTCTAGCACATGAGTCGCATACTCCGCAGAATCAGAAGGATTCTCGCTTTATCCCTCACTCCCAGCCTCTCTCAGGCTAAACTAACGAACCACGCTTGTTGTCGCAGCACTCAGGCCCGAACTCTGGTTGGTCCGGAACGCTCCAGGCCAGGTACGCCTCGAAAACAAAAGCAAAGACAAAGAAGCAGAGCTCACTGGTGTCATTGCGGTCCATAAGCTATCACACAGAGCAACTTGCGCCCATGCAAGCCGAAAGAAAGGAACGCAAAACCACTTGTGCTTTTTCTTCTCCGTACACTGAACACATGCGCAGGCAAAATTAAGACCTCCTTAAAAACTTGGCCCGCTCCCAGGAGACAAGCACCAGCCGCAACACGTGAAGTCTCGACAATGACTTGTCTCCAATGCCCTCGCAGTCGAGGATTCAGCGACTGCAACCTTTGCCTTATGTGCAAAGGGTGGGAACCTGGGCCTGAGTGCACTGCCTGCGACTTCGCATGAGGAGGTTTACGATTTACATGGGACATGCTGCGTAGAGGAGAAGACTCGTCATCCTATAGCTGCGTGACTGAACTAATTTCTGAGCGTAAACAAACACCCATGTCGTGCACATCTCGAAGGCCAACCTAACATCAAGTCTCCTCCTTCAGTTGGCCTCTTGGCCAGCGCTGCTCAAACACTGTCGTGTCTGCCCGCGGCTTGCCCCGTTGCGAGGAGCGAAACCCAACAGTTGCAACATCAGCGGATTTGGACAAGTTTTGGGAGCCAGCAAATCAATCTAGGCAAGCCTGAAAGGACACAAGCGAAACGCAGCGTAGTGCATCTGTCACCTTGTGACTTCGACATTAGTGGCCCTTGACTGTTCCGCAAGAATATGATTCGTGCGCATCCATGCATATGAAACTGCTTATGCAAAATTGTGCAAACATGTCCATGCACATGTGCCTCGAGTAAGGGCTTTTCCGCAAAACACCGCTAGAATCTCGTTTACGGTCGTCAAGTCGGTGCTTTCGGTCGGCATTTTGAGTAGTTCCAGTGTCTCGGTACAGTGCCCCGGGGCCTCAACATCGGCGAAAAACAAAGCGATTGCAACTGCGACCGACCGAGCAACAGTGAAGACGTTACTCGAAACACACATTAAGGGACAATAGGAGGGACCCCTAGAAGGGACCCCTAATCCTAATACCCTATATAACCCTTATATACCCCCTATATAATATAGTCTCATAAAGCCCCTATATACCCAAGGGTCCCTTTAAGGGTCTCTCCTTTGTCCCTTGAAACACAGCGATCATGGACCAGCAAGAATACCACGCTCCAGGATCACAACAAGTTTCCTCCTCGAAGGGACGCATCAGAGCGCTGGACACGCTCGGCGCCATCAAACTTCACTTGACATTTCGACACGAGACCAGAGTGATTTGGAGCCCCGACTGGCAAACAACCACGACATCAATGCATAGCACCAACCTGCCATCGACCGTGGCACACCAGGCGGAGGGCCGTGTCCCGGAAATCGGTGCTCGACAAAGCTGACAGCCCACTTTGCCAATCCAACTGAGGCCATATCAAACATTCTCAAGCGAGAGATTGAGTCTTGCGAAACCCACAAGGTGCCACTTATTTGCAGCTTCTCCTCTACATCAGAACTACTGCCGTGTCACAAGCTAATTTAATCACTGATGCTTGAGAAGCTGCTCAGAAAAGGTTCATGGGTGAGTTAGCTGGTCAATGAATCAATGGTTCTCCTGAAGAGGCATGCATTGGCCACGTGCACCTCGCCAAGCTGCACAGGGCATCGACAACTATCTTGCGTGCCGCACAAGAAACTCCGCCTGCATTTCTGTGGTGCTCTTGTTCCAGGTCCAGGTTGTGCCCGAAACCATCCTGGGGCGGCTTACGGACCCAGCACCGGCAGCAAGCTTCGACGACCATCACGAGATGCGAGGCTACGATGTGATGGCACACAAACACACCAATCGAGAACGGCTCGACATCAAGCTCCAGAGAAACGAAGCCTGACCCAGAGAGCCGGGACCGGCCTGCTGACGGTTCGCAGGACCTGCAGGGAGAAGGGGGCAGCTTGGCTTTGCTGCTCCTGACTACTCCTACCCTACTGCCTCCGCTTCTGAGCACCTGGCACGATTCTCGACGGTCTTGCAAACTGAATCCTGGGTGCCTCACAGGGGGAGTCAGCCCAATCAGAGGCCTGCAGAACAGCTTTTTGCAAGCTGGCCTGGAAGCCAATTACGGAGGTGGAGAGAAATTGCTTTGCCAGCCTGGCCGGATGCCGTGGTTTGCTCGTTGGGTACTTGAGTGAATAGCCGTGCTGGCTGCATGACCATTGCATGCCACATGCAGTAGAAATGCATGACCACCTTTGCATGGCTCGTCCGTGCTGCGACCGACAGCAATCTGGAACCGGACTTTTGCAATCAGGTGCTGCATCCCCGAAGGCTCAGTGCCTACCAATGATCAAGTGTGAAACGCTTAAAAACCGCCCGGCGGCACGTATCGCCACAGGTGGCATTTCATTCTGGATTCGCAAAAGATGCCGTCAATCTGATCATGCGCGCACTAAAGCGCTGACGGATCTTGACGACGGCATGGCAAAGCAACCTATATAATCTAGCTGGAAGCGAACGAACTACGCCAAGAGGATGTCAAACACGTTTTTGCCCAAATCTCCCCAGGCCACCTTTTCCTCGATGTGTCTCCACGTGACCGAGACCTCGGCTGCAGAATTATCAACTCTTGTACGACGACAACTGCCACACTGCTCCTACTCTGCTAGGATTCAAAACGGGAGTGTGGACATTGCAGGGGGCATCTTCCGAGTTGCTGTCTGGTGCCCAAAGGCTTTGACGGCATCTGCGAAGCCCTTCTGCCCACAAATGGAAGCATCCGGTACACAGGGCCGCCCATTAAAAAGGGCTCCCTCTGGCATCCTCAGCTCAACCGCTAAGCCGCTTGGCTAAGCTGCAAGCCACAGACTAGGCTGCCAAGGCTCCAGTAGGCGCTGGCCGGCGGTTCGGGGTTTTGACACACCTGGGGTAATGGGATGTGATGGGTGATGTACGTCAATGTATGTACTCCGTGCGCCGCATGCACCCCCAAAGAAACTTCAAACAGACTAAGTCTGGCAAGCATCGTTCAAGCAAGCTCGGCAAGCTTCGCCAGGAATCACGTAACACTGGTTTCCAGGATTTTCCGTGAAATCTGCATAGATGTAATAGTCCAACATCAGCGGGCCTGCAAACTGCAAGTTCCAGAAATGAAATGCCTATGATGACTTGCATGCAAGGGTGCAGGTGGATCGAGCCAAAAAAAGGGGTTGCTGAGTCTTCCGAGCAGAAGGCTGCTGTCAGTGCGCGAAGGCCACCCCCAGGTCGGAGCGGCCAAGGCATGGCCAAGCCAGATGGCCAAGAAGCCGAGCCTCAGCAACGTCAGACGGTGCGTTCAACTCTGTCTCTGTCTGTCTCTGCTTTTCCCTGCTTCCTTCGACAACCGCATTTTGTGCAGAGGAAGCAGTCAATCTCGTGCAACTAATGCATCACGAGAATTGAATCTAGCAGAAGTTTCCATGGATTTGCAAGGAACCACCTGTCTGTCAGAACTACGTGGCGAACGCGCGCGTGCCTTCAAGTCCTATAATCATCCTCCAAGCAGCTCCAACACACTACGAGCAGAACCAAGGCCGAATCAAGATCCAGCCTGAACTTCTTCCAGGGAGCTGTGAATCGCCCCACCAAAGGCCGGAGAACCATGGCCCAGTCCCAACGGACTTCACAAGGGCACGCAAGGCCCCGTGAATCTTTTCCTTGGAGTCTCAATAAGCGACGCACAATCGCGGTGATCAATCTCTCTTCTAATCATGCTAACGAGTACGGACAGCTATGATGCGGCAATGGTGGCGACAATGCTGCAATCGCGCGATGAGAGGAATGCTGAACAGGACGATACTCGTGATAGTCATGCTGGAAAGATCTGGTAAGAGACAGCACACCCTGAAATGTCCAACGTGCTGACAAGCCACATCGTACGAAGTCAGCGCTAAAGACCGATACCACGCACGAACCTGTGCAGAATTCAACAGTCGAGCAGGGAAGAATGTAGCATTCAGGAAATTCTATCCGACAATATCAAGCTCATCGTGGCTGCAGTATACATGCAGAATACCCACGGAACAAACGACAGCGACCACTGCAGGACACGGCAGGATGCGCCTGCTTCTCGAATGCAAACTGGCCAGTACCCATCTCCCTTTGCGCTTGTAAGCGGTTCAGACGGGCCAGCTGCAATTCCCGAGTCGAGTGGTCGTCGACCAGGCCCTGGCTCTCGCTCATAAAGACGACGACAGGCCTTGAAGAGCTGATCTCGAAGAGGTGATCCGCCACAGAAACATCAACGAGGTCGGACTTCAGGGGCACCTCTGCCAGGACCATTGGCGAGTCAAAGCGCGCTGTGCCATCTAAGTTCTTGAAGAAGTTCCGTGCTCCCAGGAACCATGCGGGCTGGCGAAGCTGAGGGTATTTGTCGCTCTGCGAAAGAAAATATGCAAGAATTGTGACCTCGGGGAAGTAGACTGACAAGCGCTCGTCCTGTCCACCACCAAGGCCACAGGCCTTTGCGTCGAACAAGTAGCCTCCGAACCAAGATGCGGAGATGTCCTGGCGCTCAGATTCCAGCCAAAGATTGTGACGGTTCTGACTCCAATTCAACTGAGCTCACCCCCTGAATTCCGTGTGACTTAGTTGTTGGCCTAAAAGCCGAGCACTGGGTCCTGGGTCGCCTGGCCCGGCTCCCCGCCGATCATGAAGTCTACGCCTGGAGCATCCTGACGACGTTTCTGGCAGCCCCGCTTTGGCACAGAGTCGATGCCGTCGAAGGGGCCAGCCTTAGCTGACGCGCCATCTAAGCCATCCTGTAGGCAATGCTGTCCATGGCTGCCCTGTCTGCGAGCCTGGTCAAGGGGACCCAAGGACCCACGTAGTCAAGTCAAGGAACCCCCGCGTCGTAGTCGCAGACGCGTAGTTTGGCAGCCTGCATTGACACACCCTCCGCCTTCTGGCGTACCTCAGGGGCTTAGGCCAGGCCCTCAGGCGCAGTTAGGCGCAACTTCTGCTTCTTCCGCACTGGCCTCCTCCACTGAAGGGGGCGCACGAGCTTTGGCCGTCAAAAGCAAGGGCCCCTGGTTGCCATTCGCCAAAGTCGGATCTGCGGCACCTAAAGCAATGCCGTACAATGCCGTACATGCCAACTCTGTCAGTCCGCAGCGAGGGTCGAGGGAGGAACTGAAATGCAGTCCAAAGCACACGCTGCCAAGAGCATCGCAAAGGAGTGTCTAAAGTCCCCCGTATCGGGGCACATGCTCATAAGGCGAAAGAGTCCGGCGTTGTACCCACGGGCCTTTGCTCCCAGGTAGCTCTTCGCAGTCAAATAGCAGACTTGCCTTCGGGAGTAACCGACCCAGCCGCCGTGGCCCAGCTGGTCATCGTCCTCCTCAGGCCACGGCACGAGCATGCCGAACTGCCCAAAAGGGCTCGTAGCCAGCAGCTCCCGCTGCAGCCATCGTGCCACTTCGCCGGCTGACAAGCCGAATGGCATAGGCCAGCTGCTTCCTACGAAAGGAGCCTTCAAGGCTTCCTCGATGCTTCTCTCAGAGACCCGGAGCTCCGTCCACTCAAAGGACTTGGACTCTCGACCTTGCAAGCGAGCCCGCAGCACAAATTTTCCGGGGGGGTGACTGTGTTGCATCTGGGCTGCTGGAGATGTAAGCGCCCTCGCCCTGCACGCTGGGGGTCGGAATCAGCTCAAGGGGCCGCGGGGCCCGAGCCGCATGTCTCTGCAGAGCCTGCGCTCAAACGGAACTGAAGTTTTGTTCATCTTTTGAAAAAACAACAGATATATGTATGTGTATATATATATAACAGTAACCACTACAGTCACTGAAGCGCTGAAGAGTCAACAAAAAGACAGCCCGGGCCCATCCCGCGCCCAGGCCTGCAAGGCGCAGCTTTCGGAGTCGGCTACGTCACACTCCTCGGCGCGGCTCAGAAAGGCTCAGAGAGGCTCGGAATCAGAAGTCAGAGGTTTTAAGGTCACATGGCTGGCACCGAGGCTCATCATCTCGCGGAAGCTCCTCTGTCGCCTGATCTCAGTGCTTAGCTGCAAACCGCCACCTCTAGAACGATGGTCTCATGATTGGTGGGCATCGAAAACAGAGGCGACTGCAGGCACCCCCGAATGCAAATGCTTGACAGGGCCATGTGAGGCGCGCCTGGTTGCCGGATGCACAAAAAAGGGCCGAGGCCAAGAACAGCACCTTCGAGAGAGTCAAGCATTGTCAAACCGCACACGGAGAAGCTGTCTGCCCCTGCCCGCCTCGCATAATCGCATGCTGTCGGGAGGCCCTCCAGGGGCGGCCCCCGGGCCAAGCAACTTTGATAAGACAGCTGCAGACCGTCGACACTGGCAAGCTGAACCCTGGCTTCCTGACCTGGTGCACACGGATTGGACACCATAAGTCTGAACCCAATGTGAACTCAAGGATGGCCTGAGCCTGCGACTTGCTACCAGTATGTTTACGCAAGCTCGAGGGCAGCAGTGGCATGCGAGGGCTGTTCGCGCTGGTTTTTCAGAAAACCATGCACGCGGCAGAGGCGAAAAAAGTGCAAAGCCAGCGTCCATTGGGTCCCCTTTTCGCAGCCTTGGTGAATCACTGCACGCTGCTGTCATACAGAGTCGACTACGTCTGGGCCACCCGCTCGAGATCAGCGCGCTGAAGGTGACAATGTCCTCTCCAGAGCCAACTTCGCCGAGGACACGGGAACGAGACACTGCTTGGACAGACTCACTCTACCTGCAATACCCTTTGCACCTTTTGTTTTGCAGCACGTTGCGTCTGAGGCCCTGACCTGTCGACTGAAGACAATACAAACCCGTTGAAGGTAAGCTTAGCTGATACAAAGAAAAACTAAACAACCACAATGAGGCGGAATGCTACTAAAGTCGTGAAGGAAGACGTAAAGCTGATGGTGGACATGATGGCACTTTATGGACCCATAGAAACCACTCAGAGTTGTCATACCTAATCACGGGATACACCTTGATGTGACCATTACAAAACTTGAAGAAATAGGATCGGAAACGGGCAGTCAGCCCGGAGACAGGACCCTACCATGGAAAGAAAAAAGATGGCAAGAAACTCGAGAACGACTTGCAACCACGATGTGTGTGGTCCTTGAGGCCTACTGCTGACCCAAATTCATTCAGGAAACTGGGAAGAGCTTGAGTAGCAACCAAGTAGGTCCTTTACAGATGAATTAAATTACACATTGCGAGTGAGAATCCTTGGCCAACTTACGCATCATCATCTCGTTAAAGAGCTGCAAAGAGGCCTGGTCAAATGCACACGATGTCTTCCCACATCTCCGCGAATTGCCCAGGACGAATGGATGTCGCAGAGAGCCATGCAAGACTCAACCGGCACTGCCTCCCAGGCAGCTGACTTCTCACATGCGCTGATGCTGGCCTGAAGGTGAGCTCTGATTCCGTGTGTGCTTGTTTCCTGCAGCCTAACTACCTGCAGGAATTTGCCAAGGTCACATCGCCCGTGGTCGCCCAATGCTTGCCTTCAGATACTAGCAAACTTTAAATAACCATTTCCGGGGGGCGTTGAATGTCGTAGCCGACAGCTCCAAGAAGGCCTGCCGAGTTGTTGCAGTTTCTGCCGAGATCACAACAGATACGGGTAACTGACAGCCCAGCAGGGCAGGTCGCATGGTGACGGGCATGTGACACGCAAGCAGGAAACTAGGCGAGATTGAGCCAGCATCAGAGTCTTTGCCTCCTCCATTTTCGACATCAGCATCAAGGAGATGGACCATCTGGCAGCCTGCCCCAAGACTCAAGAACCGTTCCACGCGGAGGAAGCTTTCTCACAGCATGCGAGGCCTTCTCAGTGGCTGCGATGGTGGCATTGTAGGCCTTGGTGGCGAGCGAGTACAGCAGCAGTGACTCTCTGTGGCGGCTGTCCATGGGTGTTGCAGTCCTCAAACTATGATCGTCCAAAGACAAAGTTTATCGTGGGTTTCTTCTGTGAGATGTTGTTTGCACAATCTCGGCATGTCCAACTGTCCAGCTGCTGTTCAGCTTTCCTGTGGAGGGGGACTGGGTGACCTGTTTCAAAAGCAAATTCGAGGGGCTGCTTGGTTCTTGACGTTGGTCATCTAGTCGGAACACCAGATGCCACCTACACTTCTTGACGGTTGAGGTGGACTCGCCAGTGCTGAATTGTATCGTATTCTACGAGCACCAGACTACATGGTACAGGCATGCCAGGATGCTGCATGGTAACAAATATTAACTGCAAAATCTCCGCTAATTTAAAACCCAACTCAAAGGGAGGCGATTTGCCCATCCCCGTGGTCCGTCTTACACAACTTCCTACAAGGGCCTTTAGATCGGTGAACATGTTGTCACGTTGTCTGATACTGTTGGTATATGTATACACACACATAACTCACTTACATGATGTTGCGATGTCATGCGGGGTACAGGCCAAACGCGATTATGAAACAAAGAAGTGCTGCAAACACTTGGGTTTCATGTATAGTCATTGACAGGGGCTTCTGTGACATAGCTTGCGTCAACCGAATGTCACCGATCGAGTAGTTCACTCAGCGTGATCTCTATGTTCACAAGTGAAGCACCACATCCAGCATTGATTCCTGTCCGACAAGCGACCACTGCATCAGCTCTCTGCTTCAGCTCGAGAAGCATCTGACAGCATTCGGGTGGGGCTCTGAGAGCCTGGTTTCGGGCGAGGAAGGGTGCGAAGAGTCGAGTCGAAGGAGGCACAAGAATAGAATGTCAATGTTCACTCTGCTCCACGCTGCGGCCTGCAAAGCAGCCTGCCACAGTGAACCTGTCGCACTCGCAGAGATGAGGGCGGTCTTGGCCACCTTATACTCTGTGAGACAAGAAGAACAAATGTCCCGATGCATAGACGCAACGAAGCTCAGGTTCCAGCAGTGTCTAAGGCGCGATCGGCCAACAGGTGCACTGCAATCTGCCACTGACTTGCCTGTGAAGGCTGTGCACTTCCTCTCGGACTCTTGGGGAACACGGAAACTACGATGGACGATGGGAGCTGACGAAGCCGAAGTTTAAATGATCCTGTATCCCACGGCTCTGCAGTCGTTACTGCTCTCTTGAAGCAGGAAGCCGTTACCATCACGCTGAAAACACGTTAGACTTCTGACCGGTTGCCACTTTCACAGCATGCCCAAAAATCACAAGCCTTCTCACAACTGGTGCCGACCGCCTCAGCTGTAAGCTTGATCAGATCTGAACCAGATATCATGCGAAGCGTGACCATCGGTGGAGGCTACTTGTAGAGGTCTACCAGAACGCCGTTTCAGCCACGAGAAGGTGCTGACCGTGGTTGGAAACTGTGTCACTGTGTGGGCCCAGGCACTGTGAGGGCTGCAAGGTCAGTAGCAACCTGCCGCATTCCACACGGCTGCAAACTGTTGCTTCCACAGCCGGCGAGCCTCCGCCATCTTCATTAGTGCCAGTGCTGCCTCTAGGATTGTCATGGGCCATGTCTTAACAAGATACAGGTACTCGTCAGGAAAAGTTCTCCTGTGAGGCGCCTGCCAACGTTGCCTGCAGGCCGCCGCTGCGGCGCGAAGCCTGGGAGCTTTTCCAAGGCAGGTGCGAAAACAAGGCTCCAAACGCTAGCTGCTCCTATGCTGGGGCGAAGCCGAAGCCGAGGCGCGTCACGCCGTCCAAACGGAGGCCTCCGAGCAAGTCAAGACGCGTCAAGGTACCAAGTTGGCATGAAGAAACCGCTCACGGTTCGTGTGAGATGCCTAAAAGACACGGATACAAACGGACGTGGACGCCTCGTAGGCTCATCTGGCGGAGAACTTCGAGAGCGACTTCCCAGCGATCAGAATCCTCAAGGCTTCCTCAAGTCAGTCGAACCTACCCTGAATGGCGATTCTACAGTTGAAGGCAAGGGGGCTCTGCGGCCCTCTCCAGAATCTCGCCCCACACTGAGATTCAGACAATGCCAGGCAGCCAAGATGCCCAGCAATGAATTGAAGGTGATGACGTCCTGACAGCCAAGGCTAAACCCCTGAACTCTCCCAGGCTTCTCAATGATGAGATCTCTAACATGGGCCCAATCGGAGCGTGTGTTCGCACGCCCCTACTGTGGCAGACTTCTGCGTGCGTGCTCCGTGCGTTCGGCTGGTCAGTAACGTGCGATTAGGAGGTGCTCGTTGCCTTGAAAACGAGCTACTAGTACGAGTACCAAAAGACTTGCAGAAACGCAAACAGAGCGGCACAAACCGCGACAGCGAGTCTGACTATGTAAGGATGTGCAGTGGAAAGTGTGAGTTCCATGCATAAGTGTGACTGAATGAAAAGGTCCGCGCAGTGTGTGCGCATGTCTTCTGCATTTGTCCTGGGCGGGCGCTGCCATGGCCACAGCGCAGGCGGACTGCCATCTCCGTTGGCGAGCAAGAGCTGCGAGGAGGGTGTTGTGGGCAACGACCTCGGTCAAGAATGAAGAAGCTTGGACGTTCTGACTTTCCTTAACTCGATGATATCGATGATAGCACCAAGGGGCATCAAGCTGCTGACGACGTGTCCTCATCCGTTCCTTGGCATGCTGTGCCACTTTTGAAGGGTACAAACCATGGGATGCCATCGGGCCTTGAGGCAAAACTATGGCAGTTCCGGCTCTGGCTCAAAGGCATCAAATGCACCAAAGTTGCCACGATGCTGGCAGCAAGATCTGCTTTGCCATGCTCGGCACATGCAGCGAGTGTCAGGTTGCACCTCAGCTGTGAACCTGTGGAGCTCCCTGCGTTCACGAGCTTTCACCATGCTCTGCAGCTGCGCCGCGCCAGCCGATCCGGCTCAGGTCCGAAAGAGATCATGTCGGTCAGCAGATAAACAGCCTGCACGGGGTGACATCCGAGCAGCGTAGATAGCCGAATGAGACCGGCGCCTCCTCCCACAGCAGCAAGGCGGAGTTGGCCCGAATGGCATTGCTGTACCTGGAAAGTACACATCGCCTTCTCATTAAATTTCCAACCTACAGAGAAGCAACTAGTGATCTTGCCTGCAGCATTCCTGCGAAACGAACCTGGCACACCCTGCCGCATGCCTTCATTTAGCAGGCGGGCGTGCCACATTTCGGGGACGGTGACCTCTAGATTCAAGAGCTTGTAAGCCAGGTAACGAAATCACGTCAGCCTTCAGCAATGAACCTGCACGAATCGCTAGCGCGCTCAGAGGGCTGTGTATGGACCCTCGAGAAGGCACAGGCGCGACACACCGTCTGTCCGCGAGCCTTGTGAATCTCTGCGAATCTCGTCGAAAAGGCACAGGGTCTGCAGGCACTCAGATGTTGGAGCATGTACCGTGGCACTTGGCACATGCCCCCCACGAGAGGACTCCAGGCCTTCAGCCACTGATGCCCTGAACTGAGAGCACTCCTCGGCAAGTCTGGAAGACGCAAACCGCCAGACACTTCTCGAAGCACAAGCATTCCTTTGCGGCACGGCTTCGGTCGTGTCAACATTCATGTTGACCACCAAAGTAGTAGTGGCTTGGAGGAAGGGTCCGAGTCATGCCCCAAGCGACCTGCTTGACCCGTGCCTCTGTATTGGTCAACCAAAGCTGCAGTGAGTTCGGACCAAGGTGCGTCTGGAGCTAGTCTGACGGCAAAGCCGAGCCAAGATCAGACACTATATCCAATGGCGACATAGCACGACACAAATCTGGCGGTTGTGGAAGTATGACTGTGCGGTCGGGCAATCAGACTTCTTTCCTGCTGGCTAAGGCAGGCAAGGATCATTGTCGCATTGATCGTGACGATGTCGGGATGAGGCACAGTCGTAAACAAATGAAGTGCATCCATCCACCTGACAACGGAGATGCTGTCGTCTTGCACTGTCTTGCACTGTGCCGTCCGCTGCGCCTTCGCCCCATGCCAAGTGCCGAGACCGCCTCTTGGAGGGCAGAGGGCAGAGGGCAGCGGGTCCCGGACTCGGCTCCGTCCCGCCTTCGAGGCCGCACTCTGCCCATGGAGCCGACGCTCGGCGAAGCTGCGGAGAAGTGCGGCAAGGCCATGCCTCCCAGTCTCCCAGGCACTCGCACATTGTGCTCTGCACAAAGCTGTATCAACATCCACTCCTCGTCTTTGAATCGGATGCGGCTGTCGCCTTTGCACGCACACCTTGAAACACCTGCCGTTGCACAGCGCAGGGCGTCTACGCAACTTTTCAAATTTGCTAGCATGTGGATGATCCAGAGGAGGCAGTCCTTGCTCTTCGCCGTCCTCGCCTGGGCCAGACAAGAAAAAGCTTGAGAACGCAACCCATTTGCCGTTACCCGACGTAGTCCTCAGAACCACGACAACTGAATCTGGGCAACTGCATGATGGCATGACCCGAAGATGACGTGTTCGGAGCCTGCCACCGGAGCATGGTAGCATTCTTCGTCGTTGGCCATATGCCCAGGGGCTTGACGGGCCTCGACTCGTGGTGCCAAGGAGGCAAACTACAGCCCCGGCCCAAGCCCTTCAGAAATCTGACAGCGAACCGTCATGCTCATGCACACCATGCGGTATGCAGATGTGCTGATCAAGCGGACCTGCTCGTGCATACCGATATAACTGGGATGCGGTTCAACAAGTCTGGGAGCCGGACCTCACACAAGGAACGAGCGTTGGCCATGGAGATTCTTCAGAGGTGCCGACGGCGAAGACGGGCAATTTACCATGCAAACATACTAGATGCTATGGATGCCTTCAGCAGGGATCTTAATTAGTCTTTTAAATTGTAGAGCCCACGACGCAACTATTTGTGAAGAGTGTACACAATTCTGAGCACAGACTGCCATCCATGCACGAAGAGCACAATTGCTGCAACATTTGCTTCACGCTACTCTTGCGAACAAGCAGCATCTCCAGAGCAACGGGAAACCAGAGCCATGTTCAAATCACTAAACAGGCGCGGGGAACCTCGAGTTCTGAGCGTCTCAGAAGTACTTCCTGTCTTGCCCAGCCTTGGCAACATCTCCCGATTCCTAAATGTTCTGAATGCTGCTACTCAGGCTTTTTCAAATTCCGCTCCGACGTGGGATCATGGCAAGCTCATGCCTTCAGGGAGCCACGCCGTAGCTTTGCAAGCTCGCTGGGTTCAAGGCGCACAATGTCTTCGACAAGTGAACCAGGCACTGTCGCGGTGGCGAGGTCTGTGCCCTCCTTGTGCGGTAGCGCGAGCATCGACGTGCAAGCGACTTGCGACTGGGACAGAATGTCGTGCCCCATGGGGTTTACGACATGTTACGATGGTTTACGAGTACCTGATTCGGTGTCGGCTGGTAACCCTGGGCAACTTCACCTACTCGAACTTCCAGTGCATCGCATTGTTCCCGCCTTTAGCTCCGTAGGAGAGGTCTGCTCAGAGCCTCACATCTGAAATTCTGGCTCTTTCAGCAAGGAAACAGCAAGAAAGAAGAAGAATTTGCTTTCTCACTGAAGCATTAAGATGTGGGCAGGCAGAGCGATGGGCGCCAGAGCTCATCGCGCTGCGGCCTGGCGGCACTATTCACTATGCCAGCACAAAACATCACTTTTCCCACTGGATCCATGCAGCACAGCTCCGTTGTCGCCAAGGTGACTATCTCCAGCCCTACACCGGACGCGAAAACCTACAGCAGCGCACGAAGATGCTAGTCTTGATATCTGCTTTCAACTTGACGCCAGAATTGCACCTGCAAGTCGTCTGGCAAGTAAGTCAGTCACAGGCAGCATGCCTTCAACTGAGGGTAGATCTGTTTGGCGCGGCGCCTGGCTGCAGCAAGCAAACTGAAAGCTGGAAATCAGAAACAGATGACAGATGTACCGATGGACACGACGATGCCATTCTTTTCAGATTCATCTCCGCGTAAGCTCTCATTTGCATTGATTTGCCGGCAATGCGGCCACCTTGGGCCGAGTTCGGTGAATGTAGAATACAAGAGAAAGTGCGGACCTTGTGCCGCTTACAGCGGACCAGCGGATCACTGGTTAGTCTGTCCGGGTTGGTGCCGAAGTTGTTCAGTGAGACATGCTGCCAAGGCTCTTCATGTGAGGAGTCGCAAGGACGATTCGTGTAAGGCTGTCTTCGAAAGTCTTCAACTGTTGCTGGAGGCTCTCCTTTGGGAAAACCTTTCGATAAGACAGAATGGGGCTTTCAAGGCTGGAGCCGTTGAGAGCCATCAGGCCCAAGTGGTGGGTGTTTTGCTCCTTTGCAGTTGGCAGGTAGTCCCTGGGATCAGTCGATCCTGGGGCCCGAGATCGCAAGGTCCAGGTTAGCTGGGAGTGATTCTCAGGCAACCAAGCTTCATGGGCCAAATCGTGCACATATGTGCTCTGCAGAATACAGGTTGCAAGCAGGTGCGACAGAGTCTCTGGAGAAAGCTTCCGCCTTGCCTGCTTCATCGGGTTCCACCAGAGTGCCTTCCACCAAGACTGGAGTGCTTCATCCTGCTCCTCCCAGTACATATCCACCACAGCGCTTGTCCAGAGCAGCATCGCGTCAAAGAGCTTCTCGGCCGTGTCCCGCACAGGAAAAGCCGTGGACTCCTTTACTCCGGATCCTCCCTTCATGTAGCCTCCTTGGTCGAACCAAAACCAGGACCGAGGATCGAAACGCTCCCGTGCTCGTGTGAGCTGCTCGATCAAGCTACTCCTGGAGAGCATTGACTGCGGCGCTAAGAACTTCAGGACGGCTTCGTAGGGTGCTCCTTTGTTGGTCAGCAGAAAGTCTAGTCCCCAGGAGCGGTTCAGGAAACCCACATCGCTGCACATTGGCTCCAATAGCTTGAACACATAGTGATCTGCAGTCAAATGCTTATAGGCAAGGGCAACGAAGGTCTCCATGACCATGTGGCCAAGTACCAGGGGCTCTTCGAACTGGTGGCGCTGCAGTGCCCCCGCAACGGCGATGCGCTTTGCCCACAGCCATTCGTTAAGGGAAGAGGTCTGGTTCTGGTAAAGCGCAGGCTGTGAGCTCTCGGTGTCCATTACTGCAATTGCTTCGACAAGGAGACCAAGCTTCTCATCTTGCCTGAAGAAAACCTTACAAGGCTGGAAGAGGCGGCCCTGCCTAAGTTCAAGATCCACGAGAGACTCTTGGAGATCGCAGACAACTGCATTCTCCACTCCGAAGGTGTCCTCGTGCAGGGACGGCGCACGAAGCAGCGTGCCCCCAAAATGCTTGTTGAAAAGGTCATTGAAGAACGAATCGTCCAATGTTGAACTCACAAGCGACTCGTCTGCCACGTCTGCTGCACAGCAGGCACGGGTATAGGTGCACAACGTGCTGAGGCAAATATTGGCATTCCAAGCATTACCACACAGGCTGCCGAGCAGGCCACAAAAGAAAATGTTGTCGCGCTGAAACATCTCGATGTTGGACATCGTGGCAGCTCTACCCCCAGAAAGTCCATGGCAATCGGCTTTTTTGTTGCGCAGCATATATGCCGACACTGAAGGCCACCCCATGCCATCTTTGTCAACACTCGTGCCAACTTCCGAGAAACTGCGATGACGCAGCTGGGTGGACTTCTCGGCCAGCGTGGTCCCACAATTTAGGCAAGCATACATCTGCGAGGAGTGGATAGCGGCACACATTTTCTTCTGATCCTCAGTGACCATGACTTCCTGAGTTGGTGCAGACTCGGCTTTGGCATTGGGTTCCTTAGATCCGTCGACCGCAGCACCGGCGGCACCCAAGAGCGTGGGCAACGAGCCATGTGCGACCATGCCTGCTGCTCGCTACAGCGGCCAACTTCTCTACCTGTCAGAGCCAAATGCTCCGTCACGACGCAACTCGCTCCTCTGGGACAGCAGCTGACTCAAGTGACATCGACCCCGAGTCTTGCTAGGAGACGAGTGATAGTGCTTCAGCTGCACCTTCACGTACATTTCCGGCACCATAAATTCTCCTAGTCAGAGGAAGGCTCTGTTTGGGTGTTTAACCCGTCTTTCCCTGAAGGTCGGAACCTCCTGTCGCTTTCATGGCTCCGAGAAAGGAGGATGCGTCTTGGTTAGACTCCTGTGAACAAGCGAGCTTGCCTATGTTACCGGCTGCAAGTGCATCAGCTTTACAACTGCGTGGCTGCGGGCACTGCGACCAGAACTGCTCAGTCTGGCTCCTGCTTCCAGAATCGCGGCGGCGAAGGCGTCCTCGCGGCTGGCATACAGGTCTGTGCTTGGCCACCAAGCTTCTCGAGTACATGTGCTTCGATGTTCGTTGCCGTGGTGGACAGCGCAACATGTTCGGACTCTCTGGGCCTCAGAATAAAGGCAGGCGTTTTGCAGCGCGGCGTCACCGGCGATTCCTGCAACATGCCGGTCCGAAACTGGACCGGAACCGTCTCCAACTTGCATATTCTAATTCAGCGCGAGATGCGGCTCCTCACGTTCAGCTGCTGTTCCTCGAGCTTTTTGCCTTCGTGCCTGCAGGCTTTCCGCCCGGAATCCCACCTGATCATCTGTGGATCTTTGGTCGAATCATTACTCGACCGACAGAGGGCCTCGATGTACCGGCCGCCAAGTTCTTGCATGTGGAGCGCATCAATGGCGCGAAGCGAGGCCTACAAGGCGTCGCACAAGCCTCCGATCAGTCGCTCTACATTCGCTGCTCCAGTTCCCGCACCTCCTTCGTGCGAAAGTGGACGTTGGCCAAGCCGGAGGGGCGCCCATCCCTCATGACCTTGGCTCGGCAAGCAACACAGATCGAGGACACGTGGTGCGTGTGCCACATGCACGCAAATTCCTTGGAACACGCGCAGGCCACCTGCAACCGCACTTGCAACCCAGGGAAAGCACTGTGCAAACCTGCAAGTGAACTGCTCGGCCACCGGCGCTGAGGACAATTCCAGCATCCTAGCGGCGTTTTTCGAGGCAAGGAATTATTCACGGGCAGCTCCAAGCCAGATCAGAATGTCCACTGAGCTCAGCACTGCCAACTGAGCAGCATGCTCCTTGAGAAACCCCCGAATATCCTGTAGCACAAGCGAGCTGCTGCAACAAGTATCTTCACCACGCGACCTGGGATCCTGCCTCCAGGGTTGTCGAAAAAGGCAGCCCTCGGAGCTCAACCTTGGATGGCTCTACACTGCAAGGCCTCTGATCTGAAAGATAGTGCAGACCGGAAGCAGCATCGCTCTCTTCATCTTCCGGGCAGTCCTGGTCGGCCAGGCTCAAAGTCTACGGGCCGAGAGAGCTGTGCGATCGCACAGGCTCGCAGAGGCTTACGTCCTCGCAAGTGGTGCTCGATGCCGTCCCTGCATCCAAGCCCGCGAATTCATCCTGGCAGCTGCGAGTCCAGAGGTCTTTGGCCATGCCCGAGGGCTGATGAAGGGCCATGGGCTATTTGGCCTAAACTCTCCGCAACAGAGAGAGTCCTGGTCCGTGATGTCCGTGCTTCCACTCTCATCGCTCGTGATGAGGCAAGGTGCCGGAAAAGAGTCCATCTTCGGCACGCTGAACATAGGAACGGAAGAGAAGCCTCCACACCAGTGATCTCTGAATCCATGCCCTACCAGGCCCTACCATTCTGCGTCTACCAGCCACACAGCCGTATGCTCTCAGGTTTCTCTTAGTTAGTCATCCGGCTCTGCCTGCAGGAAAACATACTGAAGGCTCGACATACATTCCACACCTCTGTTGGGAACACGGCAGAGTGCGCAACTATGCGCCGTCAGCCAAGCAGGATTTTGCACAGAGGCTGAGGCACGTGCCACATTCCCGGCGCCACTTGCAGCCATTGCTGGAACCCCCAGATTGGCGGGGCAACGGCCAGGCACGGTACCAATGGCACTGGCCTGCTCCAGACTGCAAAGAGTGCAAAGCTGAAAAGCTGAGGTCCGGGATCCCAGCGGTGGAACGTAGTTTGAAGCCTGCAAGCAGGCTGAACGATCAGCACTTCTCCGACTGATCTTCCAGTCCCGTGCCTCTGTCGAAAGCTGATCCGGCTCTGAATTCATCTTGGAGAGGATCAGGGAGCACTCGAGGTCCAGTTCCCGTCTTTTGCAACGTGCATGTCCTGCTCCCTGATTCTGCCATGCTGCTGCAAACACTTGCCTGCTCGGCAGATATACCAACATGCGGGTTAACCCCAAGCTTGAGCCACCTCATGCTACTGGTAAGAAACACGGCGAGGAGTGTGGCAAGAAACTAGACGCGGACAGAAGAAGATTTCAATCACAACAAATAGCGTAGCAGTGTCAACGTATCATGCTCCTCCTGTTGCTGAATCTGACTTGCACCCTGCGATCATGCCCCACCTTGAAGATGAGCAGCGCGTGCTCCAGCACCGCCAAGGACAATGCGGTCCACCTACCCACATAGACCAACCAGTCAATCGGTCACTCGGTCACGTACAAGGCGGCCGCCCAAAAGTTGGACATGATGATGTACTGTATTCGGTTGAACATTGATTGTTTGTTGTGCAACATTGGTGTCCCAATTTCATTTCCTTACCTTGTAAACGACTCCCACACGCTGCTCTAGTAAGGCAGAGCAGCCTGCCTGCTTCCGGAGACAGCGAGTACAGCCACGTTGCACACCACTGACACAATCGAGAGGGCCTCTCGCAGGTACGCTCTCCCCTGGGGCACCCAAGACACAGTGATCGTGTGCCACTGCCTGTCGTATACGACAACAGCAGGAGGACCCACACCGTGCACAAGGCGAGTATTAAATTCTCACAGTCTGATAAGTGCAATCTCGAGCGGAGATCCTTCAATACAGGAGGTTGGATGGCAAGAGCCGAGGCGAGCTTTCTGCCGGACCTCAAGAACTTCCACCCAGGTATCCGAGATGACCTGGCAAGAAGGTCTGACACTGCCGTCAGCTGTAGTGAAGGATGCTGGCTCTTGGATTCTCGTGCGACGTATCGAGCCTTGACACTGACATGCAGTACAAGTTCTGCGCGGGCTTACTCCATCTGCCGCACTGGGCGCCGAGAGCATGTTGACCTGCCATCTTTCTATCCGTACCCCAATGAAGAACAAAGGCTCCGGTTGCGCATCGTGGAACGTTCCTCCTTGACACCGCGGATTACAGTGCTTTACTTATCTTCGCTGCCTCTTCTCTGCAACTGACACAAAGGTATAGATTCGAGCAGGTGACCAGTGTTGAAAGGCTCAATAGGTTGCATGTCACGGAATGGAAGCTGCACGAGCTCGCTGCGCACCATCAGGAACTTGTAACCATCTGATCGCCTGAAAGCATCTGAAAGCTCTCTCAACAGCAACTGACCCAACAGTCCCGGGCATCACGACAGAAAGGCGGCTTAATTCGCATCCCACACAAGCTTGTCTGCCACACCATACATCCTTCATGCGCCCCTGAAAACCATGACGTAGTGCTACAGTAGTTCCTTGTCTGTGCCCAGCCTCGAAACGTAGCTGTGCAGTAGCGCCAGCAATGGGCCACAAGGAAAGGCGATCTGTCACAGCGGCGTACGGCGGCACACGAGTTGCAAAGTTAGATCCCAAAACAGCTGGGTTGGAACCAGAAGTCAAGCTTCTCGGGACTCGGCAGCAAAAGAGCTCGTGAGCGCAAAGAGCACGACCAGCTGCTGGTACTCGGTGCAGAGGTCCGTCTTGTCCTGCACCGGGACAGGGATGTTATATTCTATGTCTATGTGTGGTTCACCAGGAATACCAGAATTAAGATCCATCTCATCCCTGCCGAGGAGCTAGAGCCAACTGCCGGCCAACATCCTTCTCCAGTGAGGTGCCCTCGGCAGTCACAGCATCTGAACGGAGCAGGCTGTTGTTGGATGTGTCCTAATGGTCCTAATGCCTACACTATGAAGGCAAACCTGGTGCTTGTGGAGGCTCAGAAGCACGACGGACCACAAAAGATCTTGCCACCCACCCCGCAGCTAGGTATCGTACATCGCCCAATACCGCGTGAGTACCAAGCCTGCGCAGAGAGGCGCACCTGCAAGCTCAACATCCAAACAGCACCTTCGGCCCTAAGAAGCTGCAAGCGCGCTTCACCGCATTGTTTATGCCCGCTCCTTCTGGTCTTGGGCGCAGCTGCCGAAGACATCTGTAGCAGGTCAACTCTGCCAACACTTAGACTCTCAGCTACCATAGCACGAAGTCTCAGCATCGCACGTCTGGCTCCTTGCTGGAAGCTTGCGCTCCTTTTCCCTGCCGGCTAATGTTAATGTACAAGGTGAAGAGGCAGGGGCGATACTATGGCGATGCTGATTCTACAAGTCGATTTTGTATCCATCTCATGACTGCATTCACAGCCTGCCAGCGTCTGAATCTTTGCAGTATGACCTGAGCACGCTGTCAGGATGTCTTAAGCCAAGCTGTTGTGAATTAAGCATGCGGCACGTGAAGAGGTCGCTAAGCTGCCGACTGGCAGAAGCACTTCTTGCGCAACTGCCACGACCTGAGCATCGGCACTACTCTACTGTCGTCCTGAACTCTTTCTGGCTACCCTCATCACAGCAGAGTCATCTCTGGTATACGAGTCGCGGTTATCAGCTTGACCGAGGAGCTGCCAACGAATGAAACTTTGTAACCGCAGTTTGGAAGGGAAACTGGAACAGTTGCGAGCCTCTACTGCACCTTCTTCCTTGCGATGGCTGATCAGACTGTAGCTGCATGGACGGGTATGTATGCGAATGAAGCGGATTGAAACGGCCTGTTTCACGGTCATGAAGCTGAGGAGCTGCGATCTGCACAAAGAGCTTGACGAGTACAGACTTGACGCATGTCGCTTGAACCCCCCCCCCCTCCCGCCCCCAAACATTCACACATCGACCGAGCCTGAGGTAGTTCAAGTCTTGGATGCAAAAGGCCACATACAAGAACCAACCTCGGATTGTGACAAAGCTCCGCGGATTTGAATCCAACATGCACAACTCAACCACGAGAGCTGCTGTCTGCAGTCCATCTTGGCGACATGAACTCGATCGTGACATTGTGACGCGGATTCCCGTGATGCACGACTGGCGGTTTAAGCCGCAAAGGACGCACCTTCATAAAACTTCCGTGCTCGTTGTCAGGAATCGGGTCCGCCTCTCTGTCATCTTGGGCTGGCACCCAAGTAGTTGACCAGCTGAAAGAAGAGCGTCTGCCACTCAGCCACTTAAGACAACACGTCACGGATAAGCAATGCAATGCACCTTCGAAATGAGCGACTTCAAATGCTCCGCAAACGAGACCTGAGCATGACATCGCTATTACATTGTGACATGCTGCGGTAAGTCAGTCTGTAGTGGTCAGATTGTTGCTGTACCCTCGTGCGACAAACACTTCAGGCATGTCCACTCATGTCCACCAGAAAAGGAGCGCTACAAGATGCTCACAGCCAGGTCTCTGACGTGGCCTTCCATATGCACCAGCGAGGACACCCCCTTTTGGTACAGCCTGCACTCAACACCCCGAAGACTGCAGCCAGAACAGAGATCAACCAAAGTGAGCCTCTCCATGAGGCTCACTACAATCAGGTAGATCACAACCTTGTCTGGACCCGGCCGCAGAAAACCGTGAGGAGCGTCTTCTGTAACTTCACTGGAACTGCACTTTGCACCGGCAACTGGACGACTACGGCAACCCTGTTTCGCACGAGCTGGAGTCAGCTACAGCTGGAATACTGATTGCTCCACACCTATTCTCCTCAGGCATGTACACATACACGCCTAGGCTGCCTAGTCGGGATCTCAACCACACAAGGCCACGGCAGGCGCGTTCTGGATGACAACACTGTCCGATCGCTGCTGGGCAACCTGCGGACACGAGTCGACGAGGCAGGGTGCCGAAATACCAACACAAAGGTCTTCAGAGCTCGCTGGTATGGATCGCAACGGGGTCATGTATTTGGTGCCAGGTCCCTCGATCATGGCCAGCGAGCTTTTTCTTCTCTGAAATACTTCACATCATCTTCACGCTGGCCGTTTATGCAGCGTGTAACCTTCAACGGCGTGACTTCCACTGAACATGCAGTGCACAGTGTCGGGGCTTTTCTACTTGCCAGAAGTCTGGTTCAGACCGCTCCAAGCCTTCCCGGCAATGAGCTCCCTGCTGTACTCTCTCTTCTAGGATCTATTTGGCTGCAAGACTGGTCGTTGCTTTTTGAGGGTACACCCCAGAGGACTTGAGCTGCGTCCGAACAGGCTGCCGGCCCAGCCCGTCCAATCTGTGCCAAAATCTCGGAACAACTTAGGGTCCTCCAACGACAACTTGCGAAAGGCACATATTCACGGTCAGAAGTCATTCTGAAGCCGTGGCAGGATGAAGGGTTTCCCGGTTACCCCCCATACCCAGTACGACGAGAAGTCTTTGATTGACATGATGCTGCACCAACTTGTGGTAGGATGCGTTGCAAACCTTTCTCACACGAAGAAGTACAGAGTGAAGCACGACAGAAGACATCAATACAATTCTCTGAAGAGACCTTCTGAGAACGCACATACATGCGCTTCGCAGCTGTTGTCGGATCACATGTGGCAGTGAGAAACATCAGGCTCTTCTGAGATCAGCTCTTTTGCAAGGAATTGCAAGGATCTCCGACAGCTTAGAATCAGGTTACGTCAACCAAACTGCTGCCCGCCTGCCACAGTCAAGACCGGGGTTAGCACCAAGCCGAGACTGACCACGCACTACGTCTGGCTTCTGCCCAAGGATGCCATCACACGACTACCCGGAGGCCGAGCGCTGCGCTACCCTGGTTATGTCTGTGTTCTTTTAAGTCGTGGGCCGAGGCTCCGGAGCAGTCGTGCGAAGGAATCCTGGTCTCTGCAGAGCCAGAGGCCAGCCCAGCCACGGCAAAAGACAGTAATCCCTTTTGGCTACCGGCGAAATGTACAGCGAGAGGAATCAGGAAGGTGTTTGTGCGATCAGTTGCAGCCGTTGGAGTTGCACGTTCCTGCCACTGCACCCCGCCTGCCTGGGGATGGTGGCTTTACAGACTGACCGTTGGTCGCTCAAAGCCGGTGCTAGCCCAAAGTATCTCTACAGAACACCCTTTCAGGGAGATCGCAGGTTCAAGCACCCGACCGACCATAATTGAAGGCCTCCCTGTAAGCTGTAGCTACGAAGTAGCTGCCAAAAGACACGCTCGGACCCAAAACCACATCGATCGGGGTCAGTGTTCATCCTGCGAAACGGACCGGCGCTGGTCAGCATCACAGCACTGGCCTGCGAAACGGACCGGCGCTGGTCAGCATCACAGCACTGGGACTGCCTCGTAACGGCATGGCTCAAGCTCGCAGATTCGAAGCTACCACTCTGGAACCCGACAGATGCAAATTCTTGTCACGTCTTCGAGCCAGGATGCCTCGAGGAACTCCTGACTGTATGCTGCCGCGCATCGGATCCGAACAAAAATGGGTCGCCACTTTGGCAGGTGCGACAGGAAGCTTTTCAGTGCAATCCCCACTGCACACGTAGATACGCTGATGGTTTCAGGATGCTTTACAACACTTTCCTTCTACCTAGCTATGAAGTTCAGTCACTGGAACACGTGTGTTAAAAGCCCGCAGTGTGCTATCTATCTATCTATCTATCTATCTATCTATATATACAGATATAGATATAAATATATGTATATTTATTTATTTGTTTATGCATTTATTCATTTATTTGTTTATTATACATAGGACACCAACTGAAGTGTGGCTAGTGTGAAGAAGCAGCTTTTCTTGGCAGGAGGAATGGAGGTTCAATTCTAGCTTCCTGACCGGCGTGCCACAAAACTACTTAGACTTGATCTGCGTCACAAGACTTGCTGTTGTGTTTGGTGCGAAGGGAGCGAGAGAGAACCATCTGACCGGATGCAATAACAAGCGCTGAGTTCCGTCAATATCCTCAGCTACGGTAGAAGGCAAAGGTTGGAACTTGGAAAGATGACGAGTTGTGCTGGCTTTCCATCTTCAGGGTCTAGGAGGACGATGATGTTCCAAGCCTCTGACTTCTACTCCAAACAGAACTTGTCTCTCTTGCGTGCCCTTTGCACCAGCAGCAGCAGGACTGGTGGTTCCCACGACTCACACCTTCCATGGCTTGCTGACATACCGCTGAAAGGTGCTTGCGCATTAATTCAGCACTCTTGGCTGCCCGATGTCTGGATGATCTGATAAATGTCTTGCACGAGTCTGGATTCATCTCGAACGGAGTGTGCTGAGTACCCCTGCGCATGATGCGTGTACAAACTTAAGAATTTACAGGAACTGCTTCTCAACACCCTGACATCGTGAACGGCCTGTCATCCAGCTGCCGAACACACAGCACATCCTGGCCATCTCAGCGAGCGGCCTCTGCCGGCTCTTACGACCATGCAGGGCCAAGACGTCAGCAGCTTCGCAGGTCAAGCAACAAGCATAAGCCAACCCCCCATCACACCCACTTTCCCTGCGAAAGGACTGCGAGTCTACTGAGATGGTACGACTGCCAACCAGCTGGGCGAAGATAATGATAACTGCTGTAGGACTTTACGAAGCGGTTCGGACATAGCATGCTCTGGCAGTCCCAACTGGCAGCAGGCGCAGCGCTACACCCAGCAGGCTGCTATGCGTGGCAACTCAAAACTCTCTTTGTTGAGAGAACAGGCCGTTCTAATCACTGGTCTTCTAAAAGGCCCTGGCTACCTTCGCTTTGAAGATTGCCAATGCTCGCGAATGACAAGCGGTGGCAAAGCGGCACTGCAAAAGCACATGAGATAGCTCGACTTGCCAGTCTAGTCAGTCATTATAGTCATTCTTTGGAGTCTCATTCTACGGCGAGCAGACCTGGAAAACCCGTGATACAAAACTTCAGTTTAGAGGTGTTCTCGGAAGCGGGGTCGCATGCTTTGCGCATCCACAGCATGCAAAAGATGCTACAACTTTAAACCCGAACTAGGTCACTAGATCCGTGATGACATTGTGTTCGGAGAGCCCCGATTTTTTGACAAAGGTTGAAGGCTACAGCATGTGGCCACGATCCGAAATACCTCTGATGGAGGCAGGCGATGAAGATGCGGGATCAGTGCCTGCAAGGCGCGGCATGACAAGCGCATAAGCTGGCATCGGAGGTTTTCCTGTGTCGTCTTTCTTGGGCCCCCTGTCTGCATGGTGTTGGGGCTCTCTCACCTACCAGTGCGCTTCCTTCCCTGGTTTCGGACCCCCTCCTCCAAGACAAAGCCAACCCACGCACCGTTGTATGATACAGCATGGACGAGCAATGGTTCCGTCTCGGTGAGCTGATGTATGTTTCCAGCCAGGGCACCGCCGCCAGGGCCGGCGCTCCTCTGCGAAGTCATTGAGGTCAGGAACCTCCAGATGCCACATGGTGAAGCATGCTACAACATGGCGATCGCGATCCCTCCTGCTTCCGATCTCGGCCTACCCTCGCACTTACCTAGCTCTGCCTGCATGCCCATCTCGGCACAGAGCTGCTCGAGACGCTGCGCTCCAAGGACGGACTTCCTCGGCTCACGCACACTCCTTGAATCCCTGAATCCACATAGTACTCTCCGCTTGAACTAGACTCCCAACCACCAATGGTCACCAATAGCTGCTTATAGCAGCTTACCAGATAGCTACTGCTGCTCAGCTTCGCCACACGGAGAGGCGGCTTGGTAATGGCCAGCCTGAGATTCAGGAAGAGAAGTGTACAAGCAGCTTGCTTTGAAGGGTTACGTGGCACAGCCCATGATGACCATTTGTAACCGCATTCTTCAGGGAACTACGAAGCCTTTGTGTACCGCCAAGGAACCCTTTGCTGTGATACTTGCGAAGCGCCTCCTCGATGGTATTGAGCAGCGCACGCTCTACGTGTCTTCTGATATGCTGTGATACTGTAAGCACCATGTCTGCTGCGGCTGCATTCGCACTTTCCTGCTTCTCTGTTTGCAGCAAGCTCATGCAATAGTTTTGGGTCCTCGAGGCGTTCACGTTGGCGTGGGCGTGCTCGTGCATAGGCCGAGAGTTGAACGGTTAGGCAGAAGGCATCCATCGAAATGCCCCGGGCCTCGTACAGACGGCTCGAAAGGCTTGCGCTGGCGCAATTGTTAGGGTAACCTGGCAGAGGATAGGGACTAGCCGGTTAGCCTCCATTGCCCGGAAGAGGCGTTCCACGTCTCCGAAAGATCCCAGCTTGGCATATGCCTGGCAACACCACGATGGAAACATGCTGTGACAGCAGGTACAGTGTCGACATTGACATCTACCGGTATCGCTTCTCGGTCGGCGGCCTGCGCAGCAGCAGTGAAAGACTGGCGTGTTGGCGCAAGGTCGGCGGTAATGTCCTTGCCTCTGCAACGAGCAGTCGACACGTTCCCAAGCATACAGAACGACATTTCCGAACCCTTGCCTTCTGCCAAGCGCCAGAGCCAGTGCTCTGCGCGCGCTGCCTGTCCGGCCTGTGGCAGTGGGGCCTTTAGTCGTGCTATGCTGCTGTTCACATCGCTGGCCTTGGAACAGGCATCGATGACATTGTTGAAGCAGACCTGGCCAATGCTGCGCCAAACAAACTTGCAGAGACGAATTCATGCAAGCCCACGACACACATGCATGTTGATGAAACTATGGCAGGCCACCCTCTGACACAGCATTATAACTTATAACAACACATGAAGGCATTGACGATGAAATTTGTTCTTGCAACTTCATCAAGTCATCCTCATCTGCCACCAAATAATAAACTAGGTCGGGTGTCCTCCGTGGGCGTCACACGGTCCTGACACATGCGTTCCAGAAGCCGCTCGGCCCGCCTTGGCGTGCGATGCAACTTGAGGCTTCAGGAGGACCCCTTAAAACCTTAAGGTGTGACCCGGGTGTCCTAAGGATGACTTCGGCCGGGCATTCCGGGTGTCTGCGTCTCTGCGTGCAGCACCCACATGTTTCTGGTGCAGCCAAGGTCACTTGAAGTCGCCCGCTTTGGCGCTTACATTCAGCAGCGCACTGTAAGAAACAGCGTTGGCCTGTCAAACCATGTCGCCGTTGCCGCTAAATCATGTGAGCTATGTCGCGGATAGCCTGAATCCCCGCACTCTGCATCTCATCAAACCACCTGCAGCGCTGCACCGGAGAAAGACTCATCATCACGGATACCCGGCCTCTCTGCACAGGGTAGATCTCCAGCCTTCACACAAGCATTCACGAGGGCCTGGGTGTGCAGGCGTGGCCAGAAACCTCTCGAACTCCGACATTTTTTGCCACACATGAAAGCCGGTGCCAGCAGGAGTTCCAGAATTTCGTCGCGGGTGGTTCCTGGCGAGTGGCCGTATAGGTGACCACATTGGCCTCGATTCCATTTGATTTCATCAGCTTCATCATGGTCTCAGCAGCCTCGCAAAAAAGCTTACAACACCACATGTCGTGCATGAGGCACGATTCACTGCCGTGCTTTGGCCATCTCGAATCAGCGTCAGCTGGAATCTCTGCAGCATGCGTGACAGATTCTAGAAGCTGCATCACTAGCCGACCATGGGCTAGCAGGGTCTGGAAGGACTTCACATGACCGATCACATCGCCTCAATGTTTCCGTGCTTGGCGTGGGCATGGAGCACCGTCGTGTAGCTAACCACATTGGGCTCCAGGCCAATCTTGGGACAGCCAGTGCACCGCAGGGAATTGTACTGGGGGAGAGGGGTGTGGACGAAAATTGGCAGGCATGAGAAGGTTCTGCCGTTGATCGTGCATTTATGTTAGGCTGCCGTAGCTGCAGGCGGGGAAAAGAGCAGACATGTCAAGCCAAGCCCAATACACTCAACAGAAGCCGAACCCCTTACTCGGAAAAGCCGAAGTAGCCTCCAGCATTCTTTCCAGCCAATATTCTGCACGCTTGGTATCGCCGACCTCGCAGGATGCACTGAAATGGGATCTCTCGATGAAAACTCGCACTAGGGACCTTGACGGATGCATCGATCAATGCATTGAATCCAATGACATCTGGGCCTGACGACAAGCCAGACAACTCTTTCAGGAATCGTGCACGGCTCTAGCAAGAGTGAATGGGGAACAGCACTCACAACAAAATGACAAGGCTATGGTGTGGTTCTTTGTAAGCTTTCGGCGGGTTTTGCCCCTGGTCAAGATGAGGTCAAACCTGTCAGCAAGCTTCCGTGCGTGCCAGCCTGCTGCAAACGCTGTACTGAGAATCTGGGCCACCGGCATGCGTTCTGCCTCCTTCTGCTGACCAGCATGAGCAAAGGCGTGGACGGCGGCACCCAGTGTAATCACGTCCGGCTCAATACCATGCCTCAGATGCGTCCGAAAGCCTCCCTCAGCTCCGGCGTTTGGCCAAAGAGCTGGACAGCATTAACGATGATATACGATGATTCACGATGTCTGCGCGGCTCAAGAGATGGGCAGCTTTCAATGCCATGCCAGGCACTTGCACATGAACGCCACGATCTTCTCGGCTGCCACAGGGTTCTTTTCTTTCGCGTTTGCGGTGATCACCTCAGCAGACATGCAGACCAACGATCGAGCTGCGACCAGAGCGGCCGCCAGAGTTACTTCTCATCTGCCGAGCTGCCGCATTGAAGTCCCGAAGCATGCCTCAACTCTGTGGTGCTCGGCACATCATGGGCTTACGGGTAGGGAAGATGGGCTAGACTCGGTTAGACTCTCAGGCTAACTTCAGGAGGTCTGCCCTTCTCCGCGAGGAAGCTGAGCCATCTCTCGGCCATCTTCGCCTGCCATCGAGGGCTCATGTGCTTCTCGACGCAAACTGGGCTGTGAGCCTAGACTGATGAGAGGTGAATGCTTCCGCTTCGCCCGTACACTGTGCAGGGCTTCGCAGACATGGCTGGTACTCTTACTCAAGCGGACTCGAACCTCCATCGTGCTGTGGGCATTGACAGACTCCACGGCATCACCGTTTTTGAGCCTGCATCTTCAGGCAGTCTTGAGAGAGCCATCATCATTCGCGTGGCCTCCAGGAGTTGCACAGCAAGAGGAGCTTTGCCTGCCGAGTTCCAGGGCTCGGAAAAAACACGGTAGCAGAATGGTAGCGGACCTAGTAGACTGCATGCATAACCCATGTTCGCCGACCTCGGCAAGCTCCATGTTGCCGGCCCGAACCGCAGCGACCACCTCGGCAACCTCCGGGAAGACTGTGCGAATCACTGCTCAAGCGACGCACGTGAGATGTCGGGCGCACCTTGGCATCATCGCCTGCTGGCTTGCTGACTGGCCTTGACACCAAAGGCCAAATGCCAGCATGTGCAGCCACTTAGGACTTGAAAATGCGACTGCTTTCCAGGACGCCGGATTCAGCTTCTTCAGTCATTCACGTGGTTGCGTGGTGACGTTGATGCATACTGACGCACGAATAGGATCCGAGAAGCTTCGCTGGCTTGGCCGCACAGCGACCTGCCGCGACCTGCTTCTGGCATGTCCTCGGAGCCTCGCGACATAGACGGCGCTACACTGAGCTCCTAGGGGCACTGTGTCTCTTCATCCGTCTTGCTGGGCCTTGTTGCTCTTGGTAGGGCGAGATGCTACTGCAAGTCCTGACTGGGCGAAGCTGCAGCCAGAGTGGGCCGTAGCCGTGGTCACGCTCGGATCTTACTACTGGCAGATATCATACATGATATAACACAATATGAGAATCTGAGTAATACAGTATAGTATCGTATGATACCAGCAATCCAAAGGAGATCCGATGCTACCAGGAGTCCGAAGGTCGCCGCAGCACAGAGTCCTATCTCCCAGCAGCAGGAGGAGGTTTCCTTCCCAAGTAGGGCGATGCCAGGAGCGTTTTTTTGAGTCTTATCGCTTTCAGAGAATCCGGTAGACTTGAATCAGGTCCGGCGGGTGCCTCCTCTGAGAAGAACAGACCATCCAGCGCACCTGCCCCAAGCGCTGGTTCGCTGAAGCAGTTGTAGAAATTATGCAGTGCTGCGCAGTGGCCATATTTACTCATTCATATTGCCTTTCGCAGAAGCTGTCTTCCCATATTAGCATGTGACAGTTTTCAGGTAAGCTGCGCAGGAGGAGGCCAAGCACGAGGACTGAGACCATGAAGACGGCCAACGGCCATTGAAGACCTTGCCAAAACGCTGTACAAACTGGACTTGACTTGTCCTCGCTAGATGCAAACTTCTTTTGGGCATACTATTCTTGCGGCGGAGGCTAGAAATCCCTAATCATGCCATGCGCTAACGATTCCGACCAGCATAACTTCTTGCTGCTCCAGTTGCCCTTCTGCAGGAAGGCATCGATTGCAAAGCTTTTCCGTGCCTGACTCAGGACAGGCAGGTTCTGTACTAAAAACACGTCAGTACAGCATACGGAAACTGAATGTTTAACAGTTTCAACCCGCCGCCTTGATCTTTCCTTGTCGTTCAGCATTCATCGGCGCGGTGTCGTAAGTGCGCATCGTTTGCAAGAGAAGCCTGTACAACGCCTCTGGCAGTCGCATCTATGGTCGCAATGCTGCAGTTCCACCCCGTGCAGTACTAGTATCAGCTATCAGCTACCTGTGTAATGAACTACTCCAACGTGCCACCACACCGATGAAAAGCTCTGAGATATGGCACTCGTCTTCGGAACTGAGCGGGGTGTGCTTCTGCAATACAGCATGCTCGCAGACATGTCCTCTTGCTTCAAAGCAGCTTCTGATCCAAGCTGATCTGAGGTTTAACAACACTTTCCTCGGCATTCAAGAACACATTTCTGACTGACGGTTAGCAAGAACGCGCCATAAGTTGCCCGTTCTCTTCTGTCAAAGGCAAGGCAGGACACCGCAGTCGCACGTGAAGTTCTTTGTCAAGGCATGCCAAGCTTCTGTGCTGCAGCTTGTTCAGTCGATTGCACAGCTGGAAGGAAGCCCCCCTAGGTGTCTCCTCTTGAGCTGTAGAAATATCTGCGATGGCGTGTCTGCAAAACAAGGACAGTCGCCCATGGACCACTCGCGTGTGTTGTAATATATTGCCTGTGCAAGTGTAGAATGTAGTGTCTGTGGGCTGGCCGCGTCTGCCTCACCGAGTCGGAGCAGCAAGTACACGACGCCGGAAACCTGGAATCAGGTCTGCAGAAGGCGGCCGTCGGGTGGCAGAACATCTTGGGTTTGTCCAAGGCCCAAGCAGCGGCAGCCAAACAGCTCATCGCCACCACCTCTTTACATGACTGTCAGGCTCGGAATCCAGAGCCCCAGCAGTCCCCGATGCTGCCAAGGCACTGTCCGGAGAAATCGAAATAAGATAAGGAACCCGGCCTTCAAAAGCTCATGCGGACTCGTGGGTCTGTAGCTCGAAGTGTGAGTCCACTGACAGCAGTGACAGCACCACTTCAAGCAAAGTGGCCAAGCCCTGTTCTTTGTCCTTCGACAGGTCACGCACCTGGCAATCGCCAAGCAGTGTAAAAACTTCTTCTGCTCTGGCTTGAGGTGCGGTTGTTGCTGAACAAAGGCGAAGTCACTTCAGAACTGCCCTAGATTCGCGGCCGGGCCCACTGCGCCCGGCTCCGCCGGCCACCTCGTGGTCCGACTCTGCTCGTTGCCGCGAGCCAGCAGCGAAGGCACGCGCCAGACCTGCACTTCTACGCATACCCAGAAGCTGTCCAAACTCTGCAAAGCAGAGTTCATGCCCTTCGATACGGGGAATAAGCTGCAAGCGCTGTGTCTCGATGCAGTACGCTGCAGGAGCCTGCAAGTCTGCACATCTGCACGCTGCCCAGCTTCACCATGAAACATGCCCTTGCTCTGATTGGCCAAGCACTGTCAAGCAAGAACCACAAGCTGCTTCCAAGCAAGTCGCTTCGGTGCAGTGCCGACTTGCCTGGCCTCACACTCTGCTTCTGCTTGGCGGTCTTCCAGCCTGCACCGGTAAGATTTTGACATGCAAGCATTGCTGCAGCATGGTCAGCACATGTCAGCACAGTGTCACCATGGATTCCTAGACTGATGCCTCGCTCCGAACTGGTAGTGCAGTCCGGCACGGCAGCGCTTCCAGTGCTCGATGAAGGCTGTGGTCCACACCTTGAGCTCAGGGCCCTTTTTTTGGACTGAGCCCAACTCCGGTGAACTCCTTGCAAGCTGCGGGCAGACATAAAGACCATGAAGGCCTGGGAGATGTGGCGCCTGGGCTGCGCTGAGCCGAGCCCGACGAGCCCGAGCCCTGCGACGAGACCTTCTGCTCCCAGGGCCCAGGCTCCGCGACCTGCAGCTCAGAGGCACAAAAATTGTGCAGTCCTCTTCCTTTCCCGTGCTTCTCAGACCGACTAGTGACTAGTGACTGGAATCCTGGAAAGAAGTCTGAAGCTAGGCCTCTCCTACCATGAATCCGGTGGAGAACCCGTTGATAACGCTAAGCCGGGCGAACTTCATCCATGCCGCAGTACTTGTAAGTTGCACGAGCCCCGCACTTCGTCGAGCCCGTCGTGCCCAAGGCTTAAGACTGCCTGCGCTGGGGCTTCCGTTCTCGATCGTTCGGTCTGTAGGCATGGACTTAAACGACAGCAAATCTGCAGAGCTCTGACAAAAGTGTCATGCGGCTCGGCTCCTGCACGGCAACTCCGAGCACGGCAGGCAGAAGGAGCCATGTCGCGTACTCGTGCAGGAAGGCGAAATACTGGCAGGGGCAAACCAAAGGCCGCGACATCAAACAAATCAAGCCGTGCATATGCCACGCTGGTACTAGCAGTTATCGCAAGCTGGTACTACGAGGTACTGGTACGGCGGCCCCGGCGAGGAACTGCAATGATTTGCGCACTGTGCAGATTGCAGCTGCACGTGATCGAGGCAAAGAGTTCCCGCTTCTGGATGCTTGGTTTTTAGTCTGCCATGCGCACTTCTTCGCTGCACTTTGATTTGAAAACTGCAGTTCGTGCATCCAATCCAATCTCATGCCCATACGAATTGGGAGGAGCATTGTAAAGCAAGCCTGGTGGGGTCTTATGCCCCTTTTTCAAGACAGCAAGAAACTTGGTAAAGCATGGCATCTTGACATGGGGATGCCCAGGAATTGGACTGCTGTGGCCAGTGTTTTGATTGTTTGGTCACTGCACATCTGAGAATCACGGTGCCTCGGCGGTATGGATGCCAAAGTACGTGACAATGCTGTCGATGGGCATCTGAGCGAGAAGTCGTCCACATGCACCCGGCTCTGACCAGATGGACAAGGAACAGTTGAGGCGACAACGGGGGCAAGCCCTCCTCTGAGTCGTGGCCAGAGCTCCCAAAGGCGTTGCCCTGCGGGGGGTCACCATCGAAAAGGGCTTTGTTGGGTGCGAGGAACAGCTGACGGCATGTACACTGCGTGCTCTATGAGTCGTCGACAAGCGAAAAAACAGACCGCATGGCATGCGATCTAGCCTGTACACACACACCCGACCGCAAAAACCAAGTGCGCAACTTTGAGAAGGATCGTGCAGCGCTGTGACCTGGCAATGCAAGCTTCTCATGCACCCGCTGCTGTGGCACAGCACAAGTTCGACAGGGGGACTTTGTCAACCACCCCTCCATGCAGAGCCAACGACATCACCTCGGACAGGCTGGGCGCAATAGGCCGCGATGATACGTTGGCCTCTCTCCCTTCACCGTAGCCAGATCTCTCTCACATCAGCCTCGGACGGAATGCCTCTGGCACAGGAGGTCCAGGTCCTCAAAAAGTTCTGCGTGAGCTGCAGAATCCGAGCCGGGCTGGTCATTGTCAAGTGCCGCGCCCTGAACTCCTCCGGCACGTCATCGCTCGCCCTCTCGGACCGACACCCAAGGAGGAGTTTCGCTGCAGTGCCCGTGACTGCCTGGGAAAGACAGCCTGGAAAGCGCAGCGGTAGAGCAGCGAAAGAACCTGGCAGCATAATTTTCTGCCGTGTCAGAGTCATCCGCTGTGCACGCATCCTGTTCATTCGTTTGACGGATGTGCGTCTTCGCAGCATTACGGCGATTTACGGGCTATATACGGCTGTCAAGCCCTGACAAGTGCTCGAGGGGACGAAAGCTTGGCACCTGCCAACCAGCTGCAAAAAATCTGCGAGGGGCCTCGGCTTGAGCGACCTGTTAAGTAGTGCGAGTCCACCGTGCTCTTACGGACTTTAAAACCTGCGAAGATCGGCAACAGGCTGTGAAGTTGCAGAAGCAGTATAACCAGGGTGATGAGTGAGTTTGCTTCGAGGGGCGAGTTTTGGATGCTGGGTTGGCAGACGGAAAAGGCGTTCCAACAAAAAAACTAAACCCCAAAAGAAACGTAGAACTTCAGGAGTTCGGGCTGAAAGTTGCGCTTTTGTGTCTAGGGGCCGTGGGACTCGTGCGGTCTGGGTTTCGGGCTAAGGGTTTGGGGTTTCCTTATTTCGGCACTTCGGGTTCTGAGTTTTATGCTGCATCCCCACAGCAGTCCCCTGAGTTGCCCCAGGCTTTTGAAGCGAAAGCCCCAAACACAAACTCAGAGCCCCGACCTTCCTGAACTCGGGCACCGAATGCCCGTAAGTCCCTGAAGCCCAAACCCTAAACCCCAAAACCCCTAAGCCTTAACTCCCTGAATTCTGGGCCGTTGCCAGGTGAGCATGCAAAAGCCACCAGCGCCTGGGCAGAGTTGAACTCCGACTCCGAGTCTGCCTCGATGCCCCGGTCCCGGCATGTCCCGGCCCGACGCGTCCGTGAGGAGGCTCTTCTAAGAAGCCGACCGCCTCGCCGTGCCCGGGACCAGGCGATCGCCTTTCTGTGGACGGAATGAAGGGGTATGGCGGGGTGTCTCCCTTTCGAAGGCACTGGGGACCGCTCTTGTAGGACTTCCATCGCAAGAAGGTCTTCGTGAGACCCTCGGGGGTCTGCAATCTGAAGACCTGAAGCCGATGACTCAAACGCTGCGCTGCGAGACCTGCAGGTCTCAGCATGGTCTCAGCTGCGGGCTCTGCGAGTCGCAAGCCTCTGGGCACTGAGCCAGCTGGAGTTTCTCAACATGCCCGTGAGTGAAGCCTTTGCTCTTCAGCTTCTCGTCGAATCGCACTCGGCGTCAAGCCCAGAACCCAAGCCTCGGCTGGGAGTTGAAGCTTGTGCTTGCATCACCTCTGCCCACGGCCCCACCTCATCTGCGACTCCACTGGCCTCACTGCTCCTTGGGGAAGCTGAGCCACAACAGTGTAACCAGATGTCAGAAATGATCAGAAATGCCTGCTTCCCTGAGACACGTGCTGTGAAGAGTCCACAGCATCTCCTCGGATCGCCTGGTGGTTGTCGGACTCACCCGGCCTTCGCCAGTTTGCAATCTCTGGTCAAGCACCAACGGCCCGTAAACCCAACAGTCTCGACACACACTTAGTGTAGTTCGGCACAGGGAAACGCAACCTACTCTACAAGCCGATGATGCAGCTGCCCCGGCTTGAAAGCTGAGGGACGGGCCCGGAAACTAGCGCTACTCGCTCCATGTAAAGCCCAGCATCCTGAAGGTAAATCAGATCGTAAGCTTCGGTGCGTACATTATGGCAGGTTGCCTCCAAAGCTGTCCAAAGGACTTCTCGCAGAATACCTAAGAAGCTGCAAATGGTCAGAGCCGTAGTGTACAAACACCGTATCAGATAGTGGTTTCAGCCTACGCAGCTATGCCAGCGGGGCCAGGGGCCACATCTCATGCTTACCTCCCCTTTACCTCCTACTCGGCTTCAACCGCGATTAGCGTCAGCTTTCCTACTTGTAGAACAGCAAAACTGCACCACGTGGACGCCACGCAGCTGTCATGTGCCCTCAATAATATAGAAGCCGTACCAACGGCTTGGACTCAGACGATTGCATGGGCAGCAGAAAATCTCAGGTCCTGGCCGTGCCGCTGCTTCTGCAGCTCCGTTGCCTGCGTTGGATTGCACGGTTTGTACATCTCTTGATGCACGGCTACACGCGTTCCTCTAGAATTGCACCAAGCAGTCCAGCGACCGTCAACTGCCAAGACCCTGGCTATTGTAGCACCATAGCGGCTGCAACGGACAATGCAGTATAATCCAACATCACAGCCAATCGATTTTTGCACGCCCGCGATGGCTTCGGAAGTGCTCAGTGCTCAGGCGATCCTGCATGCATTTATGATACTTGCCGAAACCAAAGAACTGCACGCTCACATCGACTCGAAGGCAGAGGCAGCTACCGACAGAAGAATCTTCTGGAAGTTTGAGCTCGCTGGCGCATGCAACAACCACTTGAAGTCTCGATTCTCTATTTCTGGCACCCCCTGACCCCCGGGTCCCTCTGGCGACATTGGCCAAGTGGACGGCAAGGCTGGGGTCTTTGGACATGGCCGCCAGCAGTACCTTGCCACAGTTTGGAAAAATCTCTTCTACCATAGCTTGTCCTGCCTCGCAATATCTCGCAATCGCCCACCTCTTTGTCCCGAGCTAGCTCCTCTGAGGCGAACATCACGGCGCGTGGGTCCTGCCCGATTGCACACTGGGTGCCGGGGGCCTGTGAGACATGGATGCAACTGAGGACAGATTCACGATTGTTCGCGCCTGATCAATGGCAGTCAGCACGACATGCCTGAATCCGGTGGAGGACATCAAGATTCTAACACTTGGGAGGCTCCAAACGGGAAGTAGAACGGATCGGCTCGCCTCTCCCCTCGCAGCCTTTCGGAGGCCCAGCGCAACACCTTCAGAGGCGCGGCGAGCTTCATGGAGCTTTTTGTGCATCCACTGGCCTGACCACGCCGGCGCACTGCTGCAAGGACCAACTCAGCGTCATCTCGCAAGTCCTCCACGAAACAAACACGAGAGCTCAGAAAGCTGCGCCAATTCCAGGCGCTCCTCTGCTGCGAACTGTAGTGCTCTGGCATCATTCTCCAGGGCGATATGCACCTCAAGCCGCTTTTCGGCAGGTCCCACATCCGATGCATGTCACAGTGCCACACTCCCCGCGCAGGAATTCAATTTGAGGGCGAAAGGCGCTCGGTTCTATGGCGTGCCAACTGCAGGAGGAGTCTTCGGCGGGGCCCCGGCCAGCTCGGAGTCTGCCCGGAGCGTGTCCAAGGCCTCCAGTGCCCGGCCGTCCTGCAGGGAGAAGCACACAGACGCAGGACCAGGAGAAGAAAGCCCCCCCTCCTTTTTCTTCCACTTGTAGACTCTCCCGCTCTTTAGGGAGGGGGTGGTGGCTCCTTGCGGAGTGCTGCTTTCGCCAGCTCACGGTGCTTTGCCGCAAGCTGCCCTGCGCGACTGCCAGTGCTGACTCAAATAGCACAGTCGGAAGGCCCCACAGAGAGGTGACTCCCGCCGACCTGGCCTGGCATGCCTGGCTCGCTGTCCTGTGCACGACTTTGCTGCCTCTAAGCTGCTCCGTTCTTCTGGGCAGTGCGCCCTCCCGCCCCCCCCCCTGCAGTGCGTGCTCCTCGCCGGACAGTGCAAGCAATGCTGCCCGAGCACTTTTCAGAGCGGCAGCTCCATGGACCTGGGGAGGTCAGTTCGCACCAGATGTCTGGGATGGCTTTGGAGTCCTCCGGCATAGCAGACCTTTTCCCCACACGCACGCACGGTGTCTTCAGTTCGGAGCCCCAAAGGGCTATCCCCTGACCACACCCTAGACGCGCTAGAATCGCAACAGAAGTTCCTCCTCAGAGACACGAATTCGGCCGCAAGCATGAGACCTGCTTCACATCTCGACTACAAATCAGCCACACAGCATAACACAGCTTCTTTCCATACGTGAGCATGCTTCGGCGAGGGCCGTGTGCGCTCTGAGAGATCCAAACAGCAAATCCAAGTCATGCAGGAGCGAATTCAGGATCCGCGCGAGTCTCGAAGCAAATCAGAAGTTGCAAAACTGGGCAGAAAGGGTTCTACCACAGCCCGTACCAACTTGTCCAAGTTTCTCACAAGCACTGACAGAAAGGCGGAATGTTATAGCATCCGGCACAAGTGCTGCCAGAATGAGGTCTGAAAGCAGCAGAACGAGTACCTGCCACTGCCCACGTCTCCCACAGCTGCTAAGGGTCGCATTGTAGCTGACTAGGTTCGGCTCTATTGCTGCCGGGCCCATGTCAGACATCAGCTGCACGGCGATCTCCCACTGACAACCTCTGTCGCAGGAGCTGATCGCAGCAGTGAATGTCACTACATTCGGGCGAAGCTCGGTGTCTCTGACTTCGTCGAACACTTGAAGTGCTGCCTGCCATTTGCTGGCAGATTCACATGAGCTGATGGTGGCATTGTAAGTAATCAAATCAGGCACGGCCTTTGCTGCGGGCATGTCATCTAACAGCTGAAGAGATGCCTGCCACTGCCCCGCTTTCTCGCAGGCGCTGATCACAGCATTGAAGCCTATCTGGTTGGGAAGGATTGCACTGAAAGACATCCTGTGGAGGATGACCAATGCAGCATGCCACTGCGAGCACTTCTCACATGCGCTAGCCAGAGAGTTGAAGCTAATTCTGTCGTGTGAGATTCTCTTGGCTGGCATCTCGGAGAAGAGATTTACAGCCAGCACCCATTGCCCACCTTTCTCACAGGCACTGATGCCTGCATTGTAGGTGAGCTGGTTCGGAGCCGGTGTGTCCGAGAGCAGCTGAAGCGCAACCTGCCATTGACCCTGTCTTCCGGCTGCACTGAGGGCCGCTGTAAAGCTGATGCGGTTTGGCATCACCTTGGAGAAAGGCATACTGGCAAGCAGCTCGATGGCTTTGCGCCACTGCTTGCCAATGTCGCAGGCTGTTATGGCGGCATTAAAGCTGATCACATTGGGACTCCGCCGTGCCGCGTTCATCTCAAAAAGAAGCCAGAGCGCCATCTCCCAGTTCCCCGAACCACCACATGCTGAGATGGCCGCATTGAACGTGATCTGATCTGGCGACACTCTTCTCGAAGGCATCAGGCGATGAAGCACTGAGAGGGACATGTGCCATTGCCCACTTCTCTGCCCGGCATTGATGACCGAACCGTAGGTTATAACATCCGGAACGAGTCTCCTGGCGAAGATGATGTCAAGAAGGTGAACGGCAACACACCATTCCTGACCACAGGCATTTATTGCGGAATTGAAGCTGATTACAGATGGGGCCTTCCTCAAAGTCGGCATTCTGAACAGGAGCTCAAGCGCCTCCCGCCAATTCTGTCCTACGCCACAAGCGGTGATGGCAGTGTTCAAAGTGATCTCATCGCACATATCGTTGTTTGCCAGCATGCCCGGTACAAGTTGGAGACACCACTGCCATTGGACACTTTTGGCGCATGCCCTGATGGCAGCAATACAGCAAAGCGCGTCTGCTGTCAACGAGGCGTTGCGCCTCTTCGAAAGAGACTGCAATGGAATCTGCCAGAGGCCAGCATCAACATCCGTGACTGCACTCTGATTCGATTCTAGTCTCTGCGAGGCCGCATCACACAGCATGTCTGCTGCGTGTATTCATTGCCACCCCTCCAGCATGAGTAGGCATCGCTCTCCCGTGTCCTGATGCTCCGGTGTTTCCGATGGAGGTGAAGAGTCGCGCACAGGCTTGCTAGCCGAGGCGGTTGCTTGCTCCAATCCGAATGCTGGGGCCCTGTACTGGCTGCGCACAGGACAGCATTGCAGAGCTGCAAATCGCTTAGATCTCGCTCCCGTGCTGCAGAGCCAAATTCAGAACAGCTGTGTGAATGGCTCGGCTAACTCAGTCCCTGATTCTGTCACAGTCAAGCGACAGAGGCAGCTTCTGCGAAGGAGTCGTCAAGCCATAGACGATGATCAGCCTGACTTCAGATTCGCGCAGGCAGCAAGCTTCAAAGGAGCAGGAGCTGTTGCTGCAATTTCCCTCCTTTGAGGGAATTGGCGCCTCATATCAAACTCAGGTTTGTATGCCAGCTTCAGTCATGAACGAGGGTGCTTTGTCCGTTCTAGTGACTAGTGCTTGCCGACAGGCTGCAAAACGTATCAAACTCTCCGAGTCGTGACCTGTTGCCACCGTTCAGAGGCAGCCAAGAAGCCGCATCCAACATAGCTGGATCCTGCGACAGGTTGTGTGGATAGTCGAAGCCGGAGGCAGTAGAGTCTATGGAGCTTGACAATTCGTGCTTCTTTGCTCTCGTGGTGTGCAAACGTGTGTCAGCTGCTCGTGGTGTGTCATGGGTTTACACGATCCTCTAGCCGCCATATTCAGCCCGTCCGTCCCAGCACGCGAAGTCAGCCACACTGAGTCTGCGACCTTTCTAGCGGCCACCAGAACCATTTCCGCGTCTCCTCAAGTCGAGCCGTCAGCAAGAAGAATGCCCACTGCAGCTCCAACAAAAGCTGCACACCGGCATGATGCTCACCCTGTGGGACTGACCCCCGAGGCCCCACACCTGGCCTGTGAAGCCACTCCCGCGCAGCAAAGCTGGGCGCTGCGAGACGGTCAGCAACATCAAGTCGCGGTCGCGCTGGAGATCCTGCACACTGCCCATGTGCGCTGGCCAGGCAAAACCTTGTTGCTGTCTCGGAGTGGTATGCTTTGCGCCGCAAGGAAAAGGCATTCGCGCAACCAGTGAGAAGTATACAAGGCAATAAAATTAATGCCTCTTGTCCATCCCGCCTCCGCCAAGTCCTCCCATGCCTCTGGCTCCTGCCGGTAGAGGCCGCAGGGACTTCTGAAGTCTATGCTACTTGTAACAGACTTAGTTAGGAGCGCGTGCAACAGAATACCCAACAACAGATAAATGTCGGTAGATGTCTCTGTGTGTGTACATGCAGACAGAGTGAGGGGGGATAAAGAGACAAGAAAAGGAAGAACGAAAGCAAGAAAGAACCAATAACGACAGGAGGGAGAGAGATGGGGAGAGGGGGAGGAAAGACGCCGCTAGGATATTTACCACGAAGACTAAGGGCACTTCTCGGGATGATCAAAGTCGCCTCGTGCAGACACTGCCGTGCAGCTGCCCAGCGCGGCTCCAAGCAGAGCAGCTGCAGTGTAAGCTCAGCCTCTCCAGTTGCAAAGACTCTTCTCAGAGAGGAGATGGCGAGGCTTTAATCCAGGTTGAAGATTTGAGACTCCTGCCTCGGGCGACAAGTCTCCGAGCACTTGGTGATCCTCAAGGGTGCCAGGGTCTTGGTCACATAAGTCTTCATAGTCCGCTCACTTTCAGCACAGATAGACATGCACAGACCACTCAATATAGTGGGCAGCGTAGTGGGCAGCTGTGATGTGTTCCTATGCCGGCAGGATTAACCACAGCTGCATTCAAAACAGATCCATGCCGCGGCATAGGGATCAATCAAAACTTGCCTTCAAGGACACTGCCTCAATTGAACAACCCTGCGACTCAAAGTGAATCTATGGGAAGCCGCTTCTTGACGATGCCGCTCAGACACCGAACCACAAATCCAGCCCTGCCTCCCGAGACGCATCAATTTATCAACATTTCTGTCATCCGTCTGCCTTTTCGCGTCCCTGAAACCGGAATCTGCGAGGCCACAGCCCTGAAAGGTAAGTAGGAGGACTGTTCGTCGTATGACGTTGCATCAAGCCAAACGAAATTCTGCGCTTGTGTTGGCTCCTCCACGGCATCTTGCGAGGAGGCAAGGACGAGCCTGTGCCAGGAAAGACGCAGCCGTTGCAACTCCGATCCTCCCTGACTTCGACCGTCAGTCATTCGTCTTCAGCGGGAACTGGCGATGCACTTCGTCCAAAGTTGGACTCGCCTCTGCTGGTGTTCCGAGATCCCGCTGTCTCTCTTGATCACTTCTTTGAGCTCCCGGACCTTACTGACCACGTCAAGCCCAGCTGCACAGACTTCCTAGCGCACACGAGCCTGAAGACAACAGTGCATTCGCTGCCAAGCCGCTGTCCAGCTGCGGCTTGCTGAGATCACGGATGAGTCTCCTCCGAAGCCTGCAGTCCGAGCTTGAAGTTGGTCGGCGAGTTCCAAACGCTGGCTTCCGCAACACACCCAACGTATCCAAATATCCCTTTACGGCCTCGCAGCAAAGAGACAGCCAGCCCCGGCGCCAGGGGCGGTGGTTCGTCTGGCAGCGACACGGAATGGGCTTTTGAGACGTTTCGACTTGGCGGCTGAGGCCCAGATTGAATCTGGCTCCTCGAGGTCCGCTGTACACTTCTTCGTTGCATACATATCATACAGGCTTTCCGCGACTGTCCAATCATCGTTTGATGGGCCTGGGTCAGGGTCACGGGGCCGGCGGTAGTGTCGCACCGCAGCAATGCCAAGCACTGGCTTCCCAAGAGCTTCGCTGCGAGCACAATACCTCGGTGTGCAAAGCGAGGCTGTGCGTCATTTTGTAGATGCATGCTGCCCGTTAGTCACATCTATCACGAAGCTTGGAAGCATGATCTATGAAACAGCTGCCGCCACTCTGTCAAAAATATCATACAGTACTTGGCGGATACCTGTAGCCCAGGACTAGCAGTGCCTGCAATGCCTAGATGCAGGACTGGACAGCCAACTCGCGCGATCTCAACCTCAAAGGCGTAGAGGGCCCTCATC